CCATCTTCTCGATCACCGCTGCTACCTTGAGTAACGCTTCTTCATCCTTCTCGGGCAGCCGGCTGGTGTACGAGAGATGGGTGAGATTGCAGTTCTTGAGATGCTCTCTCCATCTTGTCTTGTTCCACCATCCGGTGTTCTCGCATTTCTCAACCCTGTCTGCTAGTATCTCCTGCTCTTTCTGCCATTGCTCTTTTAACTTCTGGAAGTCATCTTTGATGCCGTCGAACTGGATCTGCTTGGCTCGGGGAGTGATTCTCCGACACTTGCTCTTTCCCTATCGATCTGATCGGGTGTCTTGACGACAAACCACTTTTGTTTGCCTGAACTCTTGCAAAACGTCTGGATGTAGACATCTTTCCAGCACTGACGGTCTTCGTCAGTAGATTTCCAGCCGTGTGCATTACGACAGTGTTTGCCGATGTTGGTACGGTCGCTGGTGGTGAAGCCGCAGTGACTGGGGGAGTCTGTTGTTGTCGATGCATCCCCTCGTACGTCTTGTTCGCCGGCGGTGTTGTCCTGGTTGTGGATGCAGTAGTAGCCTGGGATTGGCTTACACAGATACTCAATTGCCGGCTGTCCTGGCTCGGGTAGACGGACTGTGGATGGGTCTGGCATGTTGCGTCCGCTGTGATGCTGTCTTAGTGCAGCCCTTGCCTTCTTCGACGTAGAAGTGTAAGAAGTATGGACCAAGCGCAGATGGCTGTCTAAGCCTCGCACTGCGTAGCCGTGTTCCTTGCAGATGAGAACTTCGTGCTCTGCTAGATAGACGTAGTTCGACATGGCTGCTGCGATTTCTTGCTGCTCTGTCTCCTCAATACTGCCTTCTTGACGCGTCATGACTCTAGCTGTGTCGTCCTCGCCGGCTGGCTCTAGAGCGTATTCGGTCAACCGATATGCTAGCTCCATGTCTTCTGGCTAAATGCAAGTCGAGATGGATAATTGTATACTTTCTCTCTTGCTGGATCGTTCATAAGAGAAGCTTAGTGTACGTATGGAACGATGAATAGTGGCAAGAAAAGATAGAGCAGAGAAACAGAACGGAGCGAGAGATTCGCCGACGCGTCTTACCCTTCTCGTAGTGTCTCTTATCAGAGAGCTGTCGCGGAATACACACGCAGAACCTTGCTTTTAGCATTGTGCGACCTGTGGGCTGATCATGCGATAACTATGCATCTTACTTGCTGATGGTTTGCGATATCTCATGAGAATGGTCTAGCGGGACACATGTCTGTCCAATGGGGTGCGGGGGCTAAGCCTGGGACGCCTCCACCCTTGTCAAATCTAATATATATGCTTCGCGTTTCCCCGCCACGCTCTTGCGTTTCTTCAGAATTCAGCTTAGCGTACTATCTTTCTCTTCCACTTTCTCTTTTCCCCCTCTTTTTGTTATCTTACACCTTGCTTTTCTCTCTTGCGCGATTTTCCTGTCTTGCTCGGGCAGGGTGGATCTACATAAGTTTGGCAAAGAATCGAATAGTAGTTGTCACTGCAACTGTAACGATGGCGGGTGTGAAAATGTCCGCACACGTGTTCTCTATCGACTTGAACCAAATTCTGTCGGTGCTGTAGCGACCGCGGATCTCCAGAACGATGTCGCTTCTCCACAGCGCCTTGTCCGCGACGCTTCGCAAGTGCCGTCAGCGGTGCCTCTTGCACCTCGGCCCTCTGCACTTCCTAGCACGCAAGCGGTCGCCGGACCGAGCGCCCCTACGGCGTCTCAAGTGCAACGTCAACACCAATCCCTTCGAGCTAGAGCCGATGCTGGAGAGACCGAAGCTCGGCTCCAGATGATGTCGCCGGCCGATGTCGAATCGGAACTGCGCAACCAGAGACTCCCAGACAAGCCTGACGTCTCGATCTGGGACTATCTGAACAACCCCGGTCCCGATGTCTCACCTATACAAGCCGCGAGCGACCTGCTTGCTGCTGCAGCCGACCGAGCGGAGAGCGCTAGTGTCCAAGCTGCTTACATCTGGCGATGGGTGAAGATCAACAACCTGTGGGACACTCACCCAGACCCAAACCTTCGTAGTGAACAAGCTTTCATTAACAGTGTTGCTAATCACAAAGTGGTCAAAGTCATGGTCGTCGTTGGCACCTCTGCTCAATGGTCTAAAGAGAACCACCAGCAATCCATTGCTGAGATATGGGGCGACAACTGGCTTGATACTATTCCTGCTTCAATGAGACCTGCCGAGTCTGTCAAAGACCTATCTAAGAGAATGCTGAGTGAAGTGGCCATCACTAGTGCAAACGTGCCAGATCAGCAACAAGCTGTGATCGGTTGGCGTTGTGCTATTGAGAGACGTCTTGATCCTGCAAACCGTCCTCCTCGAACGCGAATCTTGAAGACTCGTAAGCTTATTCCAGAAGATGTCAAGTTCTTCAACAGTACCATGAATGCATCCGCCTCGAGCGTTCGGGAAGATGTGCTAGAGCTGATGCCTGTGGTCCCGACAACACCGCAACAGCAGCCGACTTCTGCTATCCGAACAAAAGACAGTTCCCGGAAGAGAAAGCGCATAGAAAACGATGATCTTACTATCGCCAATCCTGATTTGGAGCCAAGTGATGGTACAGATTGTCTGGATAATGGTCCTCAAGACGTAGCGGAAGCTACGAATACAGTACGCCGAGACGGCGAGTCTCGAATCAAGAGAATCCGTGGCCATCGGATCATTGAACCAGTCACTCCACCTTGCGAGTCTCCTGCTGCTGGCCTGTCGCAACTGTTAGATGAAATTCCCTTAAGCAGTTTTGATAACGAAGCGGTGACATCGGCTGATGGTTCTGATAATGCGACAACCTGTGATGGCCCTGAATTCGCTCGCATGTTTGCTAAATTTGCTGAGATCCACGCATATTTCGAGAAGCATGGCACCTCATCATCGAAACTTGTCCGTAACTGTTGTGACTCCTGTCGCGACTATACGCTTCGTGCCCTAGCATGTCTGAAAGCAGATCTTATACCTTCAGTGGCTGGTATTGAGCAAGTCAAAAAACATATATTTGGTGACCGGGAAGTGGTTCCAGGCCGGACGCTCAATGGGACCACTCAAGAACCTACTCCTCACTTGCAAAAATCTAAACGCTTGCTGCGAGTGGTTCAAGATTCTTCTGACGAAGAAACTGAAGAGTTCACTATATAGATCACAAATTTGACCATATATCTTACTCCCAGATCTTTGGTGTTAATGTTGTTGGGGTGACCTTGCATGCCTACAAGAAGTCGGGTGGAGTTGCGGGCGCAATTCTTGGCAAACTTCGAAAGTCATACTTGCCATATTTTGGACAACGATACTCAACAAGTCGCAGCCAGAATCAGAAATCTAAATGGTGCAATTGCCTTTGTATCATATTAACTCATCTCTACCATAGTTTTACAAATATTGAGTCGTGTTCATACAACTTACAAGATCGGGGTTCTACTACGGGTTCAACTTCACTTCTACCCCGCCAAGCGCCGAAAGCATAACCCCGCGAAACCCTTTTTAGACGGGCTGTAGTGCAACCCATGGATTCTATTAGCTAGGTATGGTTCCTATTAGCTAGGAAAATGGAAAGCGAACCTCCCGGCGGTGAAGGCGGTCCTCCATTTTCTTCACAAGTCCGGCAGGTTTGCGTGGCAGACGAGAGCTGTCGAGTAAGGGGAAGCTAGAATGGAACAAGGACAGATAGGGACATAAAAGGTAAAACCAGTAGGAGACGGCTAATAGGTTTGCCGTAGAACCAAGTAGCCTGATCAATTAAATCAATCAATCAATCTAGTGTTAGTCGAGAATATACTAATAACGCTCCATAGGAGTTACGAAGAAGATAGTCTTAAGGGTAGCTAAGAAGACACTTTAAAAGAAGCTAGACGAGACCTAGAAATAGGCTAGGAATATAAGGCCTTAAGACACGCTATATACTAGATTATATACGTAGAAGCTAGACGGAGCCCTTCTAGGCTTCTATATAGCGATAGTATATAATACATTATTCGTAGAGGAGGCGTCGATACTCGCCTAATACTAGATAGGGCATTCCTAACTAAAGAGTGACCTATACTGGATAAAACTAGTAGACTTAGTAAGGTACGAATACGGAGCTACGCGAGAAAGTGTTAAGCACGTTATATACGAATGCCCCCTCCTACGCGAAGATCGTTAAATTACTCTCGAGGTAGTAGGGTATAGGTAGAGGGACCTTTCTTATATACTCGGGGGCTAGAATCCCTAGGAAGACCCGAGAACTAGGCGACTAGTCGACGGGCCGAAGGAAAAATAGAAAGCGAACCTCCTAGTAGTAAAGGCGGTCCTCTATTTTCTTTATAAGTCCGGTAGGTTTACGTAGTAGACGAGAGCTGTCGAGTAAGGGGAAGCTAGAATAGAATAAGGATAGATAGGGATATAAAAGGTAAAACCAGTAGGAGACGGCTAATAGGTTTACCGTAGAACTAAGTAGCCTAATTAATTAAATCAATTAATTAATTAATCTAGTAGTAGGAAAGATTAATACTTTACTACTAAAAGACATCTAAAGGTTAATTAGAACCTAAAACTAGTAGAATAGCCTTATCTAAGTAAAGTAGAACTATAAAATACTAAGACTCTAACTCTAATAGATAGATAATAGTAGAATAGATAGGTAATAGTAGGACAAATAGGTAATAGTAAAATAAATAGGTAATAGTAGAATAGATAGATAGGTAGGTAATAGTAAAATAGGTAGGTAATAGTAGGATAGATAGGTAATAATAGAATAGGTGATAGGTTGCTAGAAATAGAAGAGAGAAGTAGGTCATTATAAAGAAATTAACTAGCAATAGTGCAAGTGACAATAAGGTAATAGTAGAAGGAAAAGAAGATAAGGAACAGGACAGCTTATCATGGATAGACTGACCCAAAACATAACATAGGCTTATAGAAAACAGTGGGTGGTGCTATGCACTAACAAGAATCGTGTCGGGTACTAGTACATCCGAAGAAATACGGTGCTTGGAATCTGGATACACTTTACAAGCCCTTTCGTGGCTTATTCCACCACTTGCCATGACCCTTCTTGCCAAACTTATTCATCTTCAGGATGAAAACACCTCTCTCAATCGTGTTGACCATGATGTAGCCAGAAGGGAACCCAGCGTAGTGACTCCATGTGCCCACAAAGTCGACCAGACCATCCGTCGCATCATCCTCCGGGTAGATGTCGAAGTACGCGACTTCCTCAACGTTACTACCAGTCGGGTCGGCGGGAATCCCACTGACATCGTACACACGAAGACCGGCAGCATAGTTTGATTGAAACACAAGACCATCATGGACGTACTGGTTGTGATCGATGGCCTTTTGCTTGGACTTGTAGTGACCTGTGTTGACTGGCTTTTCCAGGTCGCGAATGTCGAAGATGTAGGTCACAGGATATTGTTCAGCTGCCGGACCAACGCGATCTTCTTCGTCGAGTTCGTCATCGAGCACAAGGTACTCTTGCCAGTTGCGGTCGAGAACAGCACCTTGATGTGTGTATGTAGCGCCGACATACGGAGTGCGAGAAATGATCTTCGAAGCGTTAACACCAGTCTTGTCAGTCACATCATAGATGGTGAGAGTATCTTCGTTGTAGCCGTAGCAAATATCGCGACCATAGTAGCGCTTGTCAGGACCACGATAGACAAGACATTCGGCGTCGTGGACGTAGCCGTCTTGACCCGCGCAGCCAGGAGAAACAGGCTTGGTAATATCACTGACGTCGATGAAGATGAGGCCAGCTCGGCAAGTACTGTTGCGAGGTTGAGCACCGACAGAGACTGCATATCCAAGTTCCTCGTTGACAACTACATTGTGAGTACGACCGACAGGAAGGTCAGTGAACAGTCCAGTAACATCTGCAGTGATGCTGAAGTTCTTCGGGTTTCTTGGATCGATATCGAGCAGTTTGTTCATGTCAAAGAACTGGATGCCATGGTTGCGAGCCTCAGAGCCGATGACCATGTAATGTTTGTACGATCGGATCTCTCTCCACACTGAGAAGACGGACTGCTGAGGGAGGCGCCCGAGATACACGAGTTTGCCATGCTTGTTGATCTCGGCAAAGGCAGTACCGTCTGCCTGCCCGATAGCAACGAATTCGCGACCATCAGGAGAAACCCATCCCCAAGAAGAAGAACCTTCTCCAGCGAACGAACCAAGATCAGCATGGCTTTTGAAGTCGTAGTAATCAATNNCTGGCCATGTCAGTCGTGCTCGAGATCGGGATTTCCAGCTGCGACTCACATTCTTGCATCTGAAAGTCTCTGCAGGGTTGCCTGGCTCGACAACTGCGAGGCCCTTTGGGTTGCATTTGATGACGTCCTTGTCCTTGTGGTGCTTCAAGAAAGATTTCCATTTCTTGCTGTTGTATTCACCTCCCTTTCTGTGCTTCTCCCAGGATGCNNCTGAACATTGGTTAGTCCGAGTCTGCTCCAGACTTTGGTGCGAACATACATGTTTGCGATCCATGATCATCTGATGGACCTTGCCGCTATCGTAGTCGGCTTCGGTGTAGGCTAGAGCCCATACTGGCAGGAGAAGAAGAGCAAGTTGTGAGATCTTCATGGTTGCGAATCGTGACTTGTGGGACAGAAAGAAGATAGAGACTGATGAGACACCGTATCTACATGGATGGTTGCTCATACTTATACCAGGTGCCCATCAGCCGCGGTCGTCTGTATCTTCCATGGGACTCGAATTATTGGTTATTCGCCCGTACGCCATATCGCGCAAAGACACAGGGGAACCTGGGAATCAAGTCTTGTCAGATATGCGACCTTCCTTTCGGAGGCATTGAGCGACATGTCACAAGACTTTTGAGCTGCGCCAATGCGCGCTGCTGCAGCGACATGCAAGTCTTCGATGAAGAAAGGTCCGTGTGACAAGAAGGTTCTGCTTTTGATGTCGATGCCGCGGTCGCAAAAGGTGGCCATCGTTATAGGAGAAAGGTTGTTGACGAGCGAGATTTAAAACGAGTAATGCTCCATGTTTCATTGGACAAGTAAGTACAGCTATCTGTAGCACAGGCCATACCAAGAGCACAGCCGCGATATGGTATAGGGGAAATGAGGGGAAGAAGTCTTGGTACAAGATACGGGGATTGGCAAGAGCGTTACAGCCACTTGGCAATGACACCTCCGCAAACACGGCCTTGCGGATGCGGGAGGGAAGTCGCAGCCCTAAAGACTGCGGGCCACGATGTACGACTCGTTATCTCCTGCCAAAAGGGGGAAGGAGGCAAGCACCTGGGCATTCGAGATGAAGCTCTCCAAGCATCTTGGCTGTGACTTCCGCCCCGAGGTGGTGGCGGAGCATGACCACCGATCAGGACAGGGACAACATCCGCGACAAGGATTCGAGGCTGCAAGTAGCCCTGACTCAAGCCAATACTCAGGTATGCAGTGTGAAGACAAAAAAAATGCCAGAGCCAGGATTAAGAAGGGGTATGAATGACGAGCAATCTCATTGCACAACGAAGGCATAAAATTTCGAATATCGCGACTGACAATACTGTTGCTCATTCTCCTTGACTCGAGCAAGTCGCACATCTTATCGTGACAACGATTGGCCCTTGGGATCAAGACCTCCAGGTTCTTTACCCGACTTGCGGTGGCCACTGTCTAGAACAAATGACTCAAGAATTTGCGCCACTTCGGGTATGACTCGTACACAGCTCTTGTCTTGTTGAAATGTTCCCAATCAATCTCGCGACGACCTGAGTCGACATCAATGTCGGCAAGTTTGTGCCAAGTCTCACGCTTCCAGACCCATCCGACAATATAGAAGGCGACCACGACGAAAAATGCGAGGTAAGAAGCGAAGAAAGCTTCGGCATCGAGGGGCTTGACAGCGACGTAGAACTGCAGTTGTTAGCACAATCTCAGAAAGTTTGCGACAGAAAGACATACTTGAGCAATGAGGACGAGAATGATGAGAATAAGACCGATCCAAGATCCGACCACACCAAATACAGCCTTGAAGGGCAACTCATCTGTACTGTGACCATGATATTTCCAAGCGGCGCGGAAGCGAATATGCGCAAGACAGATGGAACCCCAGGTGAAGAGTGCAGCCAGACCAGACAGTGATTGCAACCAATTGAAGACGATGACACCAGTGCTAGCAAGCGTGATGTAGGCAAGAGGTGCCCACGCAAGGACAAAGATAGTAGACCAAAGAGGACGACCAGCTCTATCGACGTAAGTGAAGACTTTGGGAGCATATCCCTGCTCAGCCAACGCGGTCAACGTGCGAGAGCCTCCATACACACCAGATAGACCGATGGAGATGACAGAGACGAGGATGACAGCGTTGACGAAGTCGCCGAAACCAGGTATACCTGCATCGACTGCGGTGATGACGAAGGGCGAAGTTGAAACGTCGAGATAGCCACCAGAACCAAGAAGACGTGGGTCGTTGTAAGGGACTAGCAGACCGACAAAGAACAGGCCAAGGATGTAGAATAGAGTGATGCGCCAAAAGACTTGCTTGACGGCAGAAGGGAGAGACTTCTGAGGTGTCGCAGATTCGGCAGCGGCAAGACCAACAAGTTCAGTGCCGGAGAACGAGAAAGCAGCAGTGACAAAGACCGAGCAGAGACCAGGGAAGCCGTCGGCAAAAGCACCAGGATCGTACCAGTTGCGTGCGCCCCAATACTCGCTGAACTTGCCGTTGGATGGGCCTCCACCACAGACGAAGATGACACCCATGACGAGGAAGATAGAGACAGTCGACAGCTTGAGGAGAGATGCCCAGAACTCTTCTTCTGCGTAACCAAGGACACCAAAGATGTTGATGATGACGACAAGAAGGAAGAAGACTGTGATCCAGACTCCGACGTTGACATCTGCACCCCAGTAATTGACTGTGAGACCTGCAACGACAAGTTCGAGTGGGAGGACGATTGCCCATTGGAAGACGTAGTTCCATCCCATAGCGAAGCCCCAGGCAGGATCGATGAACCGAACAGAGTAGGTGTAGAACCCACCAGAGATGGGATACATGATGGCCATTTCACCAAGAGCATAGACGACATTGAAGATCATNNCTGGACAGTATGTCAGTGCTTGCGGCATGAAGAGCGGCGTAAAACTACTCACGATACCCATGATACCGAAACCAATGAGAAGGGAAGCAGGACCTCCAGTTCGCAGTGCTCCGCCAGAGCCGACGAACAGACCGGCGCCAATTGACCCGCCGATAGCGATCATGCTCAAGTGGCGCCCCTGGAGAGTCTTGTTGAGTTGATTGTGCTTGTCTTCAAGTGTGCGGCGTCTGAAAGAGTCGGGTGTCAGGCCAAGTCTGGTCATGAGAGGAGCCTTTTCGACGGGGTAGTCGGTCACGTAGGCACCATCGTGGCTCAACTGGGGCGAGACCTTGCCGCCCGTGATATCTTCGTGAGCTGACTTTTCCATCATGTTGATGAAATATGCTTGGTATGTTCACCGCAGCGAAGGTGACTTGGGGAAGAAATGGAACAAGAGAACAAGACGAAAAGCTACTGGTAGACCTACCTTGCAACACGCGACCTGCAGCATACTTGTACCAGATGTCCAATAATTACCTTATCAGTTGCACAATAGCACCCCAAGACTCCCAAGCCAGTAATGCGATGGACAAGGGCTTGGCCGCCAAGGTCCAAGAAATGTTGTCGCTTCCGGAGCGTCGCAGTGTCTACAGGGTCGGCAAGACGTCGCATCCTGCTGAATTTCTTGGACAACGGCGGAAGGACCTGGTGACAGATTTCATTCGTGTAATTGCACAGCGACTGTGGCAATTGTGCTGATTGCCATGTTTTGCCCAGGCTGGTGGGCGTCGACTGAACCAGAGCAGACTTCCACGACGACTCTGCGCATTATCGCCTGCCTATTTAAGTTCGAGCAAAGGGGTCGCCGGAGTCGTTGACGTTGCGTCGCATTGGCAGGCCCGTCAGGACGAAATTGTACACGAATTCTTCCCAGGTTCAGTCTTGCTCAGCTGTCTGCGTAGATGGATCAGAGAGGAAGAGGGCGAAGTTCGACACCAGCCAGTCGCACTGCCAGCGGCAACATCCGCTGCTTTGCACTTTGCCGCCCCGCCTTGCATTTTCCCATTTTTGCTGTCTTGGCGACTCCACCCACCTTTCGGTCATCCCGAGCATCCCTGTCACGAGTCTCCTAGAGCTTACTTGACCCTTCGACCATGTTCACTCTTTTCGAGAAGCCGGGTGTCAGTTGACTGCAATATGTCGATGCATGATCAACGAGCACTTTGTTGAGAGATAACAGTCTCGACGGTCGAATGAGTCAAGCTTGAGGTTGTCGCGCCCATCACCCTGCTCAGAAGTCAACAGTCCAGTCTGGCACGGTGTCTCATGACTGACTTTCTCGCTCTGTTCGCTGTATCCCTCACTCCAAGCGATCATATGTCTATTTGTGAAAACAAACATCCGTAGTGCGACACCACGAGAATGGATCGATACTCTTGCGACACCGAACGGTCGTGACCGGATATGTTCATGTGCATCAACGCAAAATTTTGCTGTACAAATGTTCATCGTCCGACACACATATCGTTCGAAGATGTCTTTTCTTGTTTATATTCTTGGATCTACCATTGCCTGCACGCGCTACGCTGCTCGGTACGGTTGCTTGTGTTCAGACATGACATTAGCTCTTCCAGGCTCCGCAACAGGAAAGAACTATATCGCGACGGGCGACGGGCATTGATGTGGCGTAAATCAAACCAGCCATGCCAATCGAAGTTGAGGTTTGGATGTTGTCACAGGTTGGAAAGCCCAACTTGTTAGCGAACGGTTTGAATCGCCCTTGAATTTTCCATGACTGAGTCTTGATAACACTATTTACTGCCAAGTTGTTTTATAATAGGCAGCACGTCGTCTGCCTCGCCCAAAGTCCATGCAGCGTTACTTGCTTCTGTGCTCTTCGATTCACCCACAACCGGCGAGACCTGGTCAATGAACTTCCTCTGCAACTGTTCGTCTGTCATGGGCACATCCAGCGATCCCACCGCATGCATGATGTGCTTCTCTATTCCCTTGGCCGGATGCGTAATTCGCAAACGCGCTTCGTCCGCTTTGAAAGATGCTTCAGACGAGGTTTGGATTCTGTCGCGCAGCTCTTTCACTTCTGGTCTGGTCACAACGTGATCCTCATACTCTGCTGGACCTGCCTTGCCATACAGCAAGCCGACTGCACATCCATGATACACAGAGAACTTGGCTTCCAAGCCGTCGCGAGGATATCTCTTGCTCGTCAACTCGATGACCAAAGGATGAACTTGAAGCGACACTTCTTGCACCTCACTGGGATCGATACCACTCTGTCTGAGCTCCTCATGACATTGAATCGCTGCGTCGATCGCTGGATGACACACGATGCCGCAAGGGAATGGCTTGAAGGAGTTGACCTCGACCTCCCAAGTCTTGCCCAAGCTTTCGAGAGTTGGGTCCAGATTCGATGCGCCAGCTCCACCACCAGCAACAACATTCGCCCAACCTCGTTTCGCCTCGAGCGCCTGTTCGGAGCTGGTGAAACCAGAGCGAGCCAACATCGCCGCCATTATACCATCAGCCGCTGCCTTTCCGGGATGAAACGATTTTGTATCACTGCCAAACATCTCTCGAAGTCCGATCACATTGACTGCAGCAATACCGATCGCCTGCGACATTTCGAGTTCCGTCAGGCGCATCAGCTTGCCGACAGCTACAGCAGCGCCTATGACACCGGTTGTACCCGTGATGTGCCAGCCGATGTCATAGTGCTCTGGCCAAACCGCCAAACCAAGCTTGCAGCTTGTCTCAATGCCGGCGACGAGAGCGAGCAGAAGGTCTTCGCCTCGCAGAGGTGTACCTTGGTATTCTGCATAGGCGAGTAGAGCAGATGCGATTGGTCCGGTCGGATGGATGATTGTAGCAAGGTGAGTGTCGTCGTAGTCATGCACATGCGAAGCGATACCGTTCAAGAGAGCAGCATGCCGGGCATCAGCTTTGCCAGCAGTGCCGAGCAAGGTGGAGGTCGCTTTGCCGAACAATGGTGTAAGAGCAGAATGGGCTTTTTTGACAGTCGGATGATTGGAGCCACCAATTGCGCAACCGAGGTAATTGTATAGAGATCGCAAGGCTGCCTTGCGCACTGTGGGTGGAACGGTTGTGAGGTTGAGCGCCCAATGAGCAAGATTCTTGGTCGTCATCGTCGTCACAATTATAATCTGACGATATGGATGGTCGTGGGTTCCGAGAAGTGGATGTTTCACGCTACAAGACGTCTGGAAGAAAGTGATCGGACTCTGGAGATGGAGTGGGACGGCTTAGTCACCAGGTCTGCCCGATTCGAGCTCGACGCAACAGCTGTATCAGTAAGATGTACACATTGTGATCCTTCACAACAAAACTGATCGGTGATCAAACCTTCGTCTGGGGATACGACTCCACGGGGAATCTCTCAGGGTTTTACGAATCTCAGTCAAGTCTGAACGTGTCTCGCAATGTTGCAGCCTGAATCTGTCGAGATGTAAACCTTCGAGATCAAGCTCACCGGTTTGTCCCGATCGAAAGCAGGAGTTGTCCGGATGTCGCGGAGATCGGCTCCTAGTGCTTTGCGGAGATGCTGGGGGCCTGGGGCTAACCTCACGGCTACGAGACGCTGGAGACCCCACGGTATACCAAGCTTTAGGCTTCAAATCGTGCTCATTGACATCCCGAATGTGGACAGTTCTTCGAGTGGTCTTGCGAAGCGTTGAGGGCACGGTACGGCAACTCGGAGATCCCACCAAGCAACACATCTCTACCCAAGCTCAGTTGTGTCCGAGCGGGAATAGGAGCTGGCCGGAGGATCAGGGGAACCGATGGCTTGAGTTATCTTACGAAGCTTCAGTATGCAATGCGGGACTTTGGATGTTGCAAAGGCCAAAATTTCCATAATCAAGGCACTCGTATCCTGGTCACAAGTCGCAGCTGCTCGGGTTGTCTAGAAAGATGGCTTGCAGTTGGCTCAGACAAACTCATCCCATGTATGAAAGTCATCTACCCATCAGGGAACCTGTTCTTATCATCCCAAGCAACAGAATCAACCATGAAAAAGACACCAAGATACTTTTTTGACCTTCGGGGTTCCGCTCTTCGCGCCGCTCAGACATGGGCAGTCATCATGCCAGCTTTCATTCTCTTTGGCTGGAACAACGCCGTCGCTGGTCCTCTGCTTGGTCTGCCTTCCTGGGTGCAGACGTTTCCAGCCATCGACACGCTACACACTACCGGCGAAGTTCAACAGCGCAATGCCAGAGTCCAGGGTACCGTGGTGGCATTGTACACGTTGGGCGCATTCTTTGGTGCTTGCTCCTATCGGAGTTCTCACAGTCGACAAGTATGGTAGGAGAAAATTGATGATGATATCGGCGATCGGCATGGGGACTTGCATGGCCATGGTTGCTGGCACAGCATCTCAAGCGCCGGCCGTCGGCTTCGTCTCCGCAGCGAGCGCTTTCCTGTTTTTCTTCAGTCTGTTCTTCCCGGTCGGCTTCCTCGGCATGACATTCCTCTATGCCAGCGAAATCAGCCCGCTCTTGGTTCGAGTGCCCATAACGGCAATGAGTACAGGAACTGCCTGGATAACTAAGTAAGCTTTGTGGAATACCTGCGCTTGCTGTTGACTAACCAATTTGCAGTTTCATGGTGGCTGAGGTTACACCAGTCGCCTTTTCAACCATTGGGTATAAGTACTTCATCGTGTACGCCTGTACCAATTTCTTCCTGATCCTACCATGTATGTCTGGCCCGTCTCCACATCTCTGTCGAAACTTTTGCCTGACCAAGATCGTAGGTGTCTACCTATTCTTTCCAGAGACATCCGGGCTTCAGCTCGAGGAAGTTGACCAGATCTTTCGAGAGATTACAAACATTTTCCAACCTGTCAAAGTCGCCAACAGCTTACCAAGAGAAACACTTCTGGTGGGAGACAGAGAGATGGCAAAAGAGATGGAGACTGTTGCAGAGTGTCGGGAAGAAGTGGCAAACAAGATTTGAGGCGGCGTCACTGGATCCAAAGACTCGCTATTACTCGTTGACAAGATGACACATGGAGGGAGACATCAAGTCAGTACAGTAGAATACGTACCTGTGTTTCTGAGCGGAATTATGGAATTATCGTCAAAGATCTACCAAGGAGTGATCATGGTCGTGCAGTCACGGAGATTACAGATTCTGTCATGCTGGTCTCTCGTATTGGAAGTCACTGAAATCATCCGTCAGTGGTGGGCAGGATCAGAACGGACCTTGATGATCTAGATACTGCAAATGCACAGGAGTGCAGACCCATGCAATAGTTGTCAGGGCAAGTCTCTCGCTGATCCATGTCCGATGGTACCCTGACGGTACTTCCATCTCAAACTAGCATGACTGAATGACAGGAGGCAAAAGCCCTGAGCTGCGTGCGAAGGACTCGAGCAATGGACTCACGTCCTTTATCAGGCGAGGACGTGTTGTTTTGTCGCGCTATCCACCTGAACAATGACCGAACTTTCGCATCATCTGTTTCTTGTGTCCGAAAACATCACTTGAGAATCCAACCAAAACACCGCAGCGATGACCATCTGCGTATTGATGAGTTGATACTGGCCTGAGTCTTCTTACACATCACGCGCATGGGGTTGCATTTTTCGTGTATCACAACTTGATGAGACTTGCTGTCACGTTAGATCGCATGTGCAACACTTTGTTGATCACAAATATGATGGCTCTGGACCTTAAGTGTGAGGCCTAACGTTTCTCACGAACGAACGAGGTATGCCTCTGGATGCCTGAAGAAGTTTTCATAGCCAGCCGTTCATCAAGCTATGATATTGAATCTCGCATTCTATTCTAGCTAACCAGCTTGATTATAGTCACGCTGACTTGATCAGTATATTCTTCAGATTGTTTTACGTGCATAGACAACGTTTATCTCCGCTCGGTAGTATGCTTTCCCGTTTGCTAATTCCGAAGTCGCATCACCGTGCAGCTGAGCAGCTGCTTCGGAATGCCAAAAGCCTGCTTCACCATCTGCTTTGGAAAACATCTTCATCATACCAGCGAGCGCACCGAGGATAGTGTTGTTGAACCCGTCTCTGGTGCTGGCCACACGATCAGAGCTGAAGACATCTCCAGAGACGTCCTCGAAACCAACGCTAGACATGGTCGAAGCAAGGTTCTGTACGTCCTCGAAGGCTTGTCCGTGCTTCAAACCTTCTCGATAGATCCGCTTCTGTATCCGCTGCGCTGCGTTAATGCTGACACCAGGCATGTTCTGGACCACTTTCAGGCAACTATGAGTTTCAGTCAGCACGTGTCTTGTGACGGCGATCGATTCATGGGGTTCGCACGCAAGGTCAGCCTCTTCCCATTGCACCCATCCACCAGGTTTTAGTAGGCCGAGTATGTTTTCGCATGCTAATTTCCAAGTGTTTTGAGGAAGACCGAGGACCAGAAGGCGCAGATGGATGACGTCGAAGGTTGCCTGCATATGCTTTGGCGCCGGCTCAAGTAGATTGAATGTCGAAAAGACTACCCCACCAGGCGGACTCTGCGGGAACTGCGCCGAACTGATATCCAGACCTTCGTATCTACTGTTCGGTTGTCAGTTTACCACCGATGCGGCAGGACAATTTGATCGTAGTGTGTGACGACGAGTCTAAACAAGCCAGTACTTNNACGCTGCTCTGCCATTGACCGCCATCTCGGCGGCCAGATCGATGAGCCAGACGCCTGTCCCGGTCCCTATATCGCCGATGCATGGATGCTCTGCGAGATGCGACTGAATGCGAGGGTGCAACAGGTATCCGATGTTCGTTTTCCATATATTGTGTTGCGCGTCCAATCTTGACGACTCGACTGCGTCTCGTGTGAGGCCGTAGACATCAGATGACGCTTTGTGTTCAGTCGATCCAGCCATTGCACCTCGATTTGGTGTCGTATCGGTGAGACCAGCAATAACTCCGATAACAGGAAATCTGGCAGAAGGTAGGAAGTGAGTAAGAACCGTGATGCAAAGGGACGAAGTTGTACACAATATATAATTTTCGGGCTCCAGATTCGCTTGTATCATTCCAACAACGAGCATTGCCCCAATGCAAACGTGTATACTCGCTTGCTGACAAGCTGACAAAGACATCATATTATATATGACTTCCATTAACGTATCCAGGACGCAGGGATTCGTAGCCAATGATCTGCCTGATTTTTCGACTGTGGCTGAATCATTTTCCTATTACGGCCTAGGGTGATCCTGATCTTTGAATTCTAGGCCTTTTCCTGATCTTCAGCAGGACTATCTGCAATAAGCAACACAGACAAGCCTTCCGTATATTTGGCCTTGTTTAATAATCGGATCCCCACGTCTACCCTATCATTTCCCCACGCTCAAGGCATCCGTCCTGTTCTTCACCTTCGAATCTCGTCAATGCATCATGGTTCGCACATTTGAGAGAAACAACACTTCTTGTTACCTGCACCCATTCTTGTCAGGAATTGTCGTTCCAATGACTGGTAACAAGACCTAATTTCACAGTGCTCGCTAATGGGAGTCTCAAATCTTAGCAGCAACATCAAGTTGGATTTCTATCTTTCTGCCGTACATGACATGGAGCTGGATTGTGAAAAGCAGGTTCAATAGATACTCCGATGTGCTGTTAGTTGAGTTGTGCCTTTCCGAAGTTCATGCAAACAACCTTTCAAAGCCTCTTGTCTCAAGTGCAAAGTCCAGCATACAGACCAGGAAACGTGGACGATATGGTAAAACAATTGGATATTCCACTTCGACTAGAAAGATTCTGAAGGTTCTTCCTAACGTGAGCTTTGGCACGAAGATACCTTTGAATCTTTGCGGTTCTGCTCTCCAGGCTGCTTAGACATGGGCATATCTTATAAATATCATGAGTTGTTCGTCATGTTCCATCCTTATATGCTACTAACCATAATCATACCTTCCAGGTATCCAGGCTCTTTCCCGCAAGGTCACGATTGCAAAACCTATTACTAATTGTCGTGCATGCGCAAAACTCAGGATGTGATACTATGAGACATGCGGATTTGTCACTGTGGATCGTGAAGGCATGGTCACAATTCCCATTGACGACGATCGAGACGGCAGAACTCTGCTACCACAACACGAGAAGCAGGAAATCGACGAGTTGACTGCCGCTACCGAAGCCTTGAGACTTGAGAATCACGCAGCCAAGAAAAGCTCGAAGTCGATCCCAATCCCAAGCCTCGGGGAGATCATGTAAGAGCTATATGCCGACCCACAATTTCGACAAGACCAATACTTCTCGCATTGTACCTTGAAACAGGTTGGGGAGCTCGAGCTGCTCTTTCGTCAGTACCCGGATGACCGCTTCATGGGCAAGGTTGATAGAGAGGGTAACACAGGAGCTCTTCTCGCTGCGACAGAAGAGAGGGGTCTAGAAACTGTTCGCTGGCTGCACCGTCATGGAGACCCGATTCATCAAGCGAATCACTATGGCAGGACTCCGCTGATGGAAGCTGCATTGTGGGGACGTCTAGAAACCATGCAGTACTTGACACAGCAGCGGAGTGTAGACTTTGGGACGAAAGACGGAAACAACATGCAAGCGATAGATCTTACAAATGAGACACCACGCAACACAAAGGAGAGGATGGTACGATCTGGACGTATCTATCGTGAGCCCCCTGATGCCAACATTCAGCACGAACGAATCAAAGCGCTATCGAAACGCCTCGGTCCAGCCTCACCAACACAATCAACACCAGAACCTCGCCACTGTACTTTCTTTTACAGAAACAATGATGGCACACTCGCAATCTACGAGCCTCGAGTATTTCTTGAGCCACCATCGGAACAACTGCAAAAGGCATTTGCGACTTTAGATCGAGGTTCAAACTATCCGTTCATCAACGCGATGAGTGGATACACTCAAGATGGCTGGCTAAACGTGCTGAACAACAGATTATGGACGAACAGAGCAGAAAGCTTGCAAGCTTTGCTGGGACTACCAAGAAACAAAGGTTTTGCGTGTAATGTCGAAGCTCAGTTGCTCGCGTATATTCTGTACAGGCACTCTCTCGATATGTTGGAGGACGAGAATCAACGTGAAGCATTAGCAAGTGTTATGCCTGCCTACTCGTTACGACCTGTCATCACGGTTAGCAAGCGGGATCTTTGTGGGGATTGTTCTATCCTATTTGGGCGTTTCAAGCAAATGTTTCCTAGCTTGAATGTTTCCATTAATTGCGTTGGAGAAATGGCTGAGAATCCTAGGGCAATATGGTATTGAGGGCGACATGGTCAATGAGTGTCCTAGAGGAATTTATGCTTCTATCGACGTTGCCAAATGATATGCTTTTCGCACCGAATGGTGTCGTACATATATGGGTTACAGGAGTTACTGGCACCAGATAGTGATTGAATATGCGTCCTGAGGAAATCTGCCTGTGGCTTGAACAGTCGATCGACAACCCACCTGCTTGAGACAGAGTTACAGAGGAAACTGAGCTTATTTGACATCACAATTCTTGCATTCTTCAATTTGGATTTTTGATTGGAAAGTGCACAATCGATGCCTTACTGGTAGGCCTCAGATATTAGCTAACTTAGAGCCTAGAATCTGAGATCTTGTCACGAGCTACTGTACTGCAACACCACATCCCGCCACCAACCGGAAGAAACGGCTGTCTTGTGATAGACCTCGTCTGTCAGCGAGAGGTCCCATGAGCCCGAAACACCTGGCACAAGCATGAGCTTATTGAGCACCAAGCCACCTTGAGTAGTGAGAGAGCAAGAAAGCAGTGATGTCTTAGCATCGATAGCGCAAATCAGAGGGGCAAAGTTCATCAAGCCTAACTTTCCGGGGTCAATAAAGTTGGGCTGGAAGACACCGACGGGGGTATTGGAGGCGTAGTCAAAGTTAGCCAAAACCCAGCCGAATTGCGTGTCGCGCAGATAGCCACTTGAATCGAGGACGAAGTTGGGATGCCATGTTGTAGATGTTGTTGAGCTGTCACCGTTGAACACTCCGAAAGACCGCCATGTGGTCGAGGCCGAAGTCTGCAATTCCATAGCTTTGCCGTCGGCGCTGGTGCCGGAGTTCTTGGCGAACACTTTACCGCCACCGGTTGGGATTGCAGTCGGGACGCCGAACTTGTTAGCCGTTGCTGTGGATGTCTTAGTCACGGCTACGGTGGTCGTAGAACCGGTAATGGTGACTCTGGCGGTGATGGTCGAAGTGGATGTGGCCGGACTGACTTGCAGCGAGCAGGCTGAGGAGATAATGCTGGGGGCGAATCTGGTCAAGGCTAGGGNGGTGGATAGAGCGCGCTTCAAGTTCCGCGGCGAAGACTCTGAACTATCGATCGGGAAATACCAGGTAACGTTGTTCCTGTCGACCAGAACTTGAAAGCCTTCTGTAGAGTTTGTTGTCAAACCCAGCATGGTGTTCTCATCACGCTTCCGCCTCTGATACACAGTCGCAGTGGCATATGCAGTGGAAGTCGCTGTAGGGGTGAGGGTCCTTGTTGCAGTGATGGTCGTTGATGGCACCGTGTAGGTGAGATAAGCAGAGCAGAACGGTTGCAGCGAAGAAGCATTGATGGCGACGCTAGCTTGAGACACAGCGCCAGGTTTGTCTCCCACCGCGGGGTCAACTCCGGCGTAAGTCTTGTTGGTGTAGCCATAACTGTACTCGACAAAGTAATGGTCGCTAAAGAGAGCGTCAGTTATGCCTAGGAACCAACGTCATGATGGTATAATCANCCTGCCGCTGTATTGCCCTGTATTCGTGGCGTACTTCGACGGCCATGCTTCGGTGTAAAGAGCGCAGTATTGGCCCAGAGGATGCTTGGTATCGTTCAAATAGAGAATGTACGTGTTGAAGAACTGACATCTCTTGGGCGACGCTCCACTCAAAGCTGCATTGTCCACGTTGATCTTGGTTTGGGCGTCACAGTACATCGCACAGAGATTAGCATCGAAAGGACCAGTAAAAATTTTGGATCCCATGGTTGTATCATAGGCCTCGGCATCGTATGTGGCGTTGATGGCTGCCTTGCCGTAGTATATCGCATCACTGTATCCTGACGGCGGCACCAAGCTGCTGTTGGTGTAGCCATTCGAGCCTGCGACCAATACCTGGAACTGGTTTCGATATTNGTCTGTTGAGGAATGTTAGATGGGGCTGGAAATAGAAGGGTAGACCTCTTACCCATAATTGTTGGCGTTGGAGCTGCTGATCGGTCCACCCCAGAACACACATTTGACGTAAGTCACGCTCGGGGGATTCGCACACCCACTAGCTCCCGATCCAGGATCAACGCTGGGATCGCGCTCAAAATAGAGGTTGAAAGACATGCATCCGTAGATTGCGTTGCACTTGGCAGCACACGCTTGCGTGTCGTAGTCCTGCATAGTAGTGAAACCGAGATATCCATAGGCACTTTTAGGACGCCATTAGCATGAGATCCAGACTTGCTATATAGAAAACAGGTCATACTTGTTCGACGCATTCAAGTTGGTGAATTTGTTGATATAGCCAGACGGCACCGGGGCACTTGATGCCAACGCTGCAAAAGCAGAATTGCTTGCGAAAGCATCGGGAATGTCTGGGAGTGTGGTAGGCGCTCCGGTGGCGCCTATGGCCAATGATGTACAAGCGGCCGCTCTCTTTGCAAGCTCGGTAGCTGACGGGCTCTGGTCGTCAACGGAAGGCGTGAGAGTGGGTATGGCGGTTGCTTGCGCGATCAATGATGTGTAATCCCACGTGACAACCTGAGCAGTGGCCCCAATAGCAGGGTCATACACGATTGGATCAGGTGCGGCAGCGAGGATTGAGAGATCGATGTCTTGCGGAAAGGCAGCCGGAATCGCTGCCGCAATGGCGACTAGGCTAGACAAGGTGGACAACACCCGCATGATTGCCGACACAGCTCAATGGAAGGGGGGAAGGAATGAACGAACACGAATTATCGAGCCCATATCGAGGAGACCGAACGTGTTTTATAATCACACATGTCAGAGAAGCCATTCAGCTTCTACGGAGTCGCCGAGCCCCAAGTCATACTATTCACAGCAAGCATCGCAGGAAAGGTGCGAGCTTTGGACGTGAGGCTTGAGAATCAAGCGCCTAGATGGCAAAGCAATCTCACGCTTCGCTTTCAGCTGACAGTTGCGTTCTCAAAAGGTATGAGGTTCAACGGTCGAACTGAGAACTTCGTTTGGCCGAAAGGCGGCTTCTATACAATCATTTCATTGCCGTGTGCCCCTGATTCCGCCCACAGGCGAATTATCAGTAGATATTGTAGCGCTCGGCTGTTCTTGACGCTCGAATAAATGATGCTGGGAAGCACGAGTAAATCGTGACGGCCTTCTCGATCGCATGACGCGCAAATGAAGAAGAGTCGAGGCTCATATCCAACAATGCACTGGACAAAAAGGAGACTGGTGGCTGAGAACGGTCGAGGTTCGGACTCTGAGAAGGAATAGATGGGTCGTGAAGAAAGCGCCTGCAAATTTCGCTTTGAAGTTCAACGGCGCAAATTTATGCTCTGTGGCTGACGTTCGTGTGGCGCGAGACTTGAGACTTGGCATCCCTTCTCGACTTTATGCATAATACCGTGAAAGCACAATGTAGAGATCAAGCCAAACACAGACTGCGCGAAAGGTCCATTCTGGTTGTTTTTCTGATATGTTCGAACGCCAGACTTTAATAGCGATGTTTCGGCCCGTAGTTTTCCTGAATCAGCTCATACTTCGAGTTCGAGAAAACTTACATGGCTTTAGATGCGACTCTGCTAGATTTGGATATACGTCTGCACGACTGGGGAGCATACCGACTCCCCAATTGTCAATCAATCCATCCGAGTCTTGCTTTAGTCTTCCAGGAATATCTTCAGGCCAGGGGCAACTAAGCCAACGCATGTCGAAGTCCCCACCCCTTCTCAAGTAGCATCGGTAATCGAAGAGAGCACCTATCCTTTCTGATTTCCATGAGGTCCAAGCCATCTGATGATCCAGGATCGTTTTGATGACAGCGGTCTGCGTCGACTTGTTAAAAGTTTCCCAAAAAGAGCTGAGTAGCACGCCATCTGGTCTGCGCATAAGTATGATGGCGCCATCCTGTGGTGTCATATGCTCAAGTACACGTTCTGTATTGAACTCGATCGTGGCGCTTGGTACGGGCAAATTGAGTACGTGACGGGCCTACTTGAGAGTCAGATAGGATTGGTCACTTGTAGATTGTCGTACGACCCACAAATCTCATAGTTGACTCCTCGCTAGCGATATATCGAAGTTGATGCTTGTATTTCGGCTTGCTGATCTTTGCGAGATATTCATTTCCATCGCTCATGGTAACTGCATATGTTGTATCGTGCTTCGACTCGGTGAGGAACTCGCTACTGACAGCCTTCCCAGAGTCGAAGATGTCTCGTGCCTCGCGTTCAGCGGTATCGAAGCTTGCACTTTCCAGTGCATGTATCGCTTGATCGTGCTCGATGCGAACACTATCCAAGCCCAGGAATGATGCGCCTTCTAGCCTCATTTTGAAAATCCATTGGACCGTCACTTTGAGATTCGTTGGAGCTGCCTAAATTTAGCAGCCAAGTTGAAAGGGGCACTGTTTGGACTGACTGTCGGGCGAACCTAGCAACCACACGATGTCTCTCATTCGCAGTAAGCAGTCATGATCTAGGCGGAGTCTCGCCGTGTCCGGGCTAGAACTCATTGTCCGCACATGGTGTCTGATTGAAATGTCGGTAGCCGCTGGCCAACGTCTCCGGAGTGGCGATTTGGAACAGCGCGTTGTCGATCTGACGAGACAGAAGCGCGTCCTGAGTATGTTCGACATCACGGTGTAGATTCGCGGACCAAAGTCTTGAATAGGGGCTCGACTTGGGTTGGCAGGAAGGGAACGAACTGAGGAGGATGTGAACACGTTTGAGTTTCGGCAGTTGCGAGCAGCCGCTGCACGGACCATCGCCACCAACGTGGAACCCGCAAGTTGTTCATCGGACATGCATGCCTGCGCCCTTTCACAGCAAAAGTGTCATCTTTCGCGACATTGCATTGCGTTTCGTTGCCATCTTCTACTTCTGGTAGCAACAATGATGAGACTAGGTGCTTCGTGCCATGTTCTACAATTTCAGACGCTCTTCATGCGACGGATCTGCATACAGAATTTAAGCGCCCAACACACTGCTGGTTCCCGGAGAACACTCTGGACTCGGTATCCAACAGAGATGACCCGAGGTCAGATAGCCGAAGTCCTTCGCACACCAGACAGTATTCTGCGCCAATGAGAACATTTTGTCATTCACATACTGACGTACAGCAGTCTCCCTTGAGTACAACCAGGGTCTTCTTACCCAGGATGCAAGACTGTCCCTGCAGAAACAGCAGGCAGCTGGAAATTTTCCCACAAAATTCTGCTTGGAGGCTTTGGAATCACAAGCTAAAGATGCTGCGAAAGCTGAACGTGTTGTCAAGACCGAGCGCATCGTCGATACTGAGAACAGCAACACCTATGCCATGACAATGGACAATGGTGAAGAAGTCATAGCCAAGGCACTTGGAAGCACAGACGAGGCTGAGCCGACAACCATGGAACTTGTATGTCAATGGTTCCACCAAAGTTGCGGTTGACTAACATCATCAGGCTCGAGATATCCTCAAACTCCCTGTGCCGAAAGTGCTAGGGAGCTGTCATTTTGCTGGAGCGAACACACCAATGGATACTGTCGGCGCTGCTTTTATCACCATGTCAAAGCCCAAAGGAGTACTGCTCAGCTCAATCTGGGATTGTCTCTCAGAAGAACAGCAAACCGCAACGATACAAGCCATCATCAGACATCAGAAGAAATGGACATCCTGGAATCCCAATGGCTACGGTAGTGTATTCAGGAATCTGGAGAGTCCTCTTGTCAATTCGTACTGTTGCACTCTCCCCATGCCAGTAAGGGCCTCAGAAATCCCGGACAAACCTGAGAAGCTGATTGTATTTGACGGATCATCATACATCCTAGGCCCAGTGCTCAGCAGAGTTCGGAAGCAGGATCGCCTTCCTTATCCAATATTGTCTCCTTTCTGCGGACCCTGTAAGACTTCAGTACATCTTTCAAACCCAAATATCAGAGAAGGCTAATATATCGCAGAGATAACAACAAGAGGATATCTTGACAAAGCGACTGGCGATGCGCGTCCGATCCTTAAGCGATTGCGCGAACCCGTGGACTGGCAACAGAACCCGATACTGAATGGCTTTGCATACCAATCCAAGTCGACTCTCCAAAGCAAACTGAAAGCCAAGAGTTTATCTAAGTCTTGTACCGCGTCTGATCTCGAATCACCGCGACCTCCTCAGACCCATGCTTCGGAATCCGAATCTACGAACCGATAGCATCTTCGTTGATGTCCAGGATAGTAGCAAAATCACTGGTTTCATCGATTGGCAGGGCAGCGAGATTGTGCCAGCATACAAACAGATACAGCAGCCCGAGTTCCACACAAAATCAACATCAGAGGACTTCACAAGTCAGCAAACTCCCGATCAGTCATCGCAAACAATCTTTGAGCTCTTTGCCAGTCTCGAAAACACCAAACGTCCCGATATCACACGACATCTTGCTTTCCGTGACTCTCTTGCATACAAGATTTTGGAACAAGCAGAGAATATGCTTACTACCAACTCGACAGAGTTTCTGGCTTTGGCAGAAGAGTATCTAGAGCTCCATCCCAAGTATGTGAGCACAGTTGACGATTTGCTGGTCAATGCCCCAAGAAGGTGGAGAAACTCGAAAAGGAAGCCGCAGCAGGAGTATATCGCTGAACGACTCGAGTCGTACGAAAAGGGACGATTTGGGCAAAGCGGATGAACCCAAAGGAAGCAAGTTCAATTGCACAGAACATGGTCAGATTCCGGCATCTCAAGCCCGAGATGATGAGGAACATAACGAAAGATCGATTTGCAGACATATATCGTAACATCATACTCATCACCCTCTCTTCCCCAACAACAACCACGTTAAGCCCCCACAGTCTCATTGAGTGTCTGGAGGTTATTCCGAATATTCACATCCTTTCTTCCCGCAACAGCAAGAGCATTCAACAACTGGAAAACAACAGGCTCCAACTTCACACCCAGCGCCAATGGATTCAAGCCATCAGCCAACTCCGTCGAAGTCGAGCATCCACTAGCGACAGTACCCGCAAAAGCAGCTTTGACGAAGTTCAATGCGCCTACGAAACCAATGATTTCAGTAGTCGCGTGGCCACCATTGGCGACGGTTGTGAAATGGACAGAAGCGCCGTCGGCACACCAGTCAGAGTAAAGTGTTGATGCATTGGCATAGGGAATGACTTCATCGTTGGTAGCGTGATACATGTACACAGGCGCCTTTGGTGTTTCCTTGGGGTTGACGCCCAGAACATTGTGCTCCAGCACATCCGCAAACGTGGGCTCGTGGAAGAGTCCGTTCCCCAGAGTCTGGAAATCAGAGCTTTGGACCTGGCCAAATGTAAAGGTGAACAGATTCTCAAAGCCGCAGGTTTGTGCGGCTTGATCGAGGACAGCATGGCCCTTGGGTGTAAGGATGCGGTCAAAGACAGGGGCAAGTTGGGCACCGTATGCTGAAGGTGTAGCAAGGCCTACAAGAGCCTGCGGGAGGAAGCCAGCAAATGCTGTGCCATCGAGGAAGACAGCAGTACCAGTCAAGTTGGCAGGCGTACCACCCTGAGCCCAGCCAAGAACGTTGAGCTCAGAGGCATAGCTTGAGACCAGAGAAGCAGCCCAGCCAGTAGCGATAGCACCGCCAGAGTATCCGTACCCAACGATCTTGGGAGTTGAGGTCGTGAAACCAAGAGTCGATCCAAAATTGGCGACAGCACGCATGCTGTCGAGAACACCCATACCAGAGAGACGACCAGCACCGAAAGCCGCATCAGGACCTTCGTAGTCAGGAGACTGCACGATATAACCTTCCAGGAGGTAAGCTTGAAGCAAGAAGAACTCGACCGACGAAATCAGATCGACCTGTGGGGAGAGCAACTGGTAGTTGAAGCTAGGATCACAAGCGCCGGTCACCGAAGAACCATCATAGGCAGTGTGGAAGCTGACAAAGCTGTTCTGCTTGGAGATAAGGGGCTTGAAAACTGTTGTTGCAGATGCGATGGCAGTACCGTTGATGGCAGTGGTGCGATACAACAACTGCCATGCTTGCACACCGTCGGGGATCAGGCCAAGATAGCTTGCGACAACTTTGCGGGTGCGAAGAATGCTTCCAGGAGCTTGGTCTTGGTAGCCAGCAGGAGCATCATAGAATGGGTCGTACTCGGGAAGAATGGCTGCAAGAGTGGTCGGCAAGAGCAAGACACCGAGAGCGAGTGAGGGCAGCATGTTCCGAAGAGAATATAACATGACGAGAGTGGACTCGTATTGAGAGACCAACTTCGCGATAAGTAGAAAATGATGACAGAAAGGCTGGCAACTGCTGGATCTTATACAGCGCTGTCACTGGATCAAACAGGTTTTCTCTGGTCGTCTAGAAGCGTTGCATCTCCACTCGAGGACTAGGATGTGCTGCAGGAGCCGATGTTTGACCCTGTGCGTGGCACTGTTTGTCGATCCCTTCATCGGACGCCTGACCTTTGTTGCCTCGAAAATTTTTACTCGACCTTGAGACTTGACGACGACGAGACTCTCACGCTCGCACGGTGCACTTCTCCATACAAGCTGTCGGAGTTTCGTGCACACTATATGGAGATCAACTATAGAGGAGGGGATGCCGAGTAACTCGAACATACGCTGTACGGCATACGTTTGTGGAAGGCGTGGAGTCTTGCACATCTTCTCGTGTTGTCACGGTGAGAACGTGAAAACGATATTCGAAAACTGTAGCCGAGAGGCCTCGGTATGTTTTCGTCTATTCTGAATAGAGTTCTGTAATTCAACGGTTGATGCAGCAATAGCGCCGTCCGTGACGGCACGTGCGTCGACAAGCGACATATATCTTGGTCGATATCATTCGATTGGCGTTGGAGAAATAACTTCATGTCATTAGGGTACAAAAGTCGAGGTATAGCAATTGAGAAGCGCTTGTGCAGCGTGCTCGAACCGAGGCGATCAACATGATTGACACGGGTTGTGGAGGATCTGCTTGTATAGACTGCAGATGGAAGAAGAAGCGAACATGCATGCTCTGCACGAGTCAAGTGACCATCTCAGCCTTGTCGGAAGGCCACCCGTTCCTTAGTTTCGTCGAACTGATTGATAGTTTCTGGCTGGTTTCTGGAACCGCTAGATCGAAGAATCCTGACAGAAGCCATACGAACCTGAGTCAGTGACTTTCCCACTGTTTCGCGCGAGTAATCCTGCTCAAGAGGGTCAGGCAAACCAAGCATAGATACCACTGACATCGTCTTGTGGACATGCAAGGAGCGGTGAAGTATCTACGTAGAAAGAGGTTCCAGCCATGGTGAGAAACGGTTTGTAACGAGGTTCTGACTTTCGTGTCACTAATCCTGAGCAAGCCTACTCCATCTTCGGAGGTATTGATGCCCAACTTGAAGTCTTTTCTACTCTGACTTTTTGACAGGCTTTGGGCAAAGTCGATCAGCGTCTGTGGTGCATTGTATCTTGGCATGTGCAGTTCAACGANACTACTCGGCTATTAGCGTGTTGTCAATGCAAGTCAGGACGCTTGGATACTCACGTGTAAGCCTTTTCCGGCCGAGAAGTCTTCGTCTGCCAGGAGTTGGTCGAGCTCGGAGCGAGTGCTGATCTTATACGACTTGACGCGATGCCGAGAAGCCTCTTCCTCAGGCGTGAAGACTTCTGCGATCTTGCTGTACCGCCATTTGCTGATGTCGTTGTATTTTGCTTTCATACCATGGACCCAGCGCTCGATCTCGTAGCCGTCGTTCTCAATGAGGAAGACGATGCAGTCCAAATCTTGTCTGATAATCGTTGACAATTCTTGAGCTGTGAGCTGAAATGACCCTATACTTTGTCAGTACACTTCATTATCCATTTGAGTTGTACATTACTTACCATCGCCTTCGAAGCAGACAGTCCTCCGCAGACCGCCCATTGTCTTCATTGCCTGAGCCGCACCCTGGGCGGCACCAAGGCTNNCATAGCCTATTGACGACCACAACGTCTGGTTGATGGCTTGAACTCCTGATGGAAACCTTGTCTCCCAGATACCGACAANAGATGTACCTGTCTCTGTGATCACAACATCACCTGATTTCAGCCAAGACGAGATACGCGGCCACAGCCAGTCGTGTGTAACATCCTGAGTCGTTGGAGTCTCACCATTAGTGAGCTGGGGATTCTTGCGCAACGGCGTTTCGACCTTGTCCATGTGCATCTTGGACGAATCAACTTCTTTGACAAGGCGTTCTAACAACCACTTCATGTACACGTTCTCGAATTTGGCGCAGTCCATGACGACGTGATCAAAGTGCAAGTCGACCGAAGTCAATCGACTGATGCGATAGGAGAAACCAAAACTGTTGACGTCTGACTTGACGTTACCGATGGTAATGACCAGGTCACTCTCCTCAATCCTCGTTCGGACACTCTCTTCTGAACCTTTGCCGATGTAGATGCCTGCAAACAAAGGCGACTCCTCATTGGCCACACCCTTGCCCATGGGAGTGATGAAGGTCGGCAGGCCAGTCTTGCGAGCAAACTGCTCTGTCAAGTCTTCGACGCGATGACGCTGAGCTCCGGCATCGAGCAGAAGTGTCGGCTTCTTGGCTGCATACAGCTTCCTCAAAATGAGCTCCGCCGCCAACTTCTCCGTTTCGTGGTCGCTGGGCGGAGGCTCAACGACGATGGGGGTATCCAATAACTTTGCGTCCACCTCTTCTGTGACCATGTCCGCTGGCAGCTGAATATACACTGGTCGGCTATTTACGTAGCACGCTTGGAGTACACGATCGATCTCAGCGGGGGCTGTCGCGGGATCCATCAGGTTCGTTTGGGCGATGGTGATTGGTTTCGACATATCGGCAAAAACGTTGAAGTCGCCATTGCCGANGCTAAACAAGTGTCAGACAGAGTACAGACATTGTTACACCCAAAGACATACAGTGTGATGGAGAAGCATCCCACTCTTCTGAGCTGCTCTCTTTGGTGTGCCGACGATATGTACCACTGGGCAGAACTCGGCAAAAGAGCCAGCAATGGCGTTTAGACACGAAAGCTCGCCCACTCCAAAGGTTGTCACCAGAGCTCCCATTCCCATAAGTCGACCATAAGCATCGGCCGCGTAGCCTGTACTTTGTAAATGCCAGATTCAGTCAAGTCTACAACGAGAAATCGTACCCGCGTTGAGCTCATTACAGTTGCCAACCCAATTGATGCCGCAGGGCTCGACGTAGTCAAGGGCGATGAGATTGAAGTCGCCGGGTACGCCATGAAGGTCTTTAACACCAAGTTGATGCAGTCGCGTGAACAGGTATTCGGCGATATTTACTTTGCGGCCGGTCATTGTGGGCGATCCGATGCTGCGATTGAAAAATGGATGACAAGCTGCTTATACCTGATTGCGGCTCATCCGGCAATGCTCAGCAGCGGTGGAGAGGGGTATCATCATTGTAATCGTAATCTTGTAGGGAGCGACGGCTGACAAGCCGATCGTCAGGGCGTACCTTGGTGGAAGAAGCATGGAAGGCGGCTTCGAATCCGTCTTGGCTGGCGGAACCCGGCCCGTCCTTGCCTCTTGTTGCGGGTTTGGCAGCAGCTGGTACTCGAGGCACGAGATGGAGGCCGATCATCTTTTCTTCTCCAGTTTTCATGACTTGAACGATACACTGTAGGACACGGTGTTTAATCCTTGTCTTCGGCTGGCAAAGGACCTGGTGTTCGGTCATCTTCTTCGAGAGCGTCGATTGCCCCCTGAAGAAGTTCGTTGTAGGCTGGATAATACACCTCTTGGATCCACTCAAATAACCTCTTCCAGAGTGAAGTCAACACGTATATCGACAGCACGTCAGTAGTACCAGCATTGCCAGGATTGAACGGTCCCATGACGGTGACGTCAGAGCGAAAGCTCCAAGCGATGTAAAAACTCCAGGTGTGCCCAATGACTGTCCAGCCAACGACAGGAGGAACTGGCCTCTTTGGCTCTCGAGCGAGCCCTCTGAGGTACTCCATATGTGCGAGCGCAGATGCTAGCCAGATCATCAGTTGAAGCTCTACTTCCTCGGCATTGCCGCCATGTCGCTTGACTACGATCGGACATGGCAAGCACAAGGTGGAAGTGTAGGCATCGGCCATTTGGCATAGCTTCATGTCGCCATAGCCATTCTTATCAACCATGGCAAGTGCAAAGTCACACTTCGCGCTGACATGTTCGACGCGACTGCCGACAGACACTTGGGGCAGAAATCGGGGATCGATTGACTGAGCCTCAATGTTGTTGATTCCAAAGTCTGTTTCACCATCATGCAGCTTGATACACGAAGACAGAAACGCTTCGACAATCTGACACCAAGCGTTGTCGTCTTTGCGTTTTGCCAACACGCTCTTTTCGATGACAGAAGCATAACTGCAATTCTCACCCGCACTTACTATATCCTTCGACTACACATGTAGGTCAAGTCTTCGGCAAAGGCCGACCCGGGAGTCTCGGAGCGGCTCGTAGGATGACTATTTCTGAACAGTTGTCCGACTTTTCCAGGAGTTACACCAACAAGCGCATCTCGAAGGAGAAGACGTCTCAGCTCAGCCACCACGGGGAGTGAGAGGCGACTGGAAAGAAGGAGGCATATTGAGCGTCACATGAAGATCGGCCATCTCAAGCAATTCCAGCGTCTGTCGTACTGAGCTTGACAACCTCGGGCGCAAGTTTTCTGGGGTCGTGGAGGGTAGCGTTCTCCGGCACTCTCGAACGTGTCTTCCACGGAGTCACCATTTCTATCCCTGGGTCTGTGCTTCTTCCTGCTTCTCTTTGTATTGCGTGCTCTTTCTCTTGCTGGGAAGTGTCGGCTTTGCGCTTCAACATGCGCCCTCGTGATGATGTCGGTCCTTAAGAGCTCGGACAGTAGTTCCAGGATCCTGGCGACCTCCAAATTCTGGATGTCATCGATGTGTAGATGCGGAAGGTGCGATGGCGAGATACTTACGGGTGACCGAGATCTCGTTGTTGCCTCGATCAAACTGTCAAGAGAGGAAGGCACAGCCAAGAATTGCGGGATCCTTGTTGCCCTGAGAACCTCGGCAGCTCGACCTCGAAGCGTCGAAGCCTCGACTCTCCTTCCCCTTCATTCACGTCTGCGACAACGTGAGTGGTTGCTCTCTATCCTCTTGTGTCTGAGCTCAAGTGTGTGATCATAGCGTTGCTTATCAAGTCTCATTGATACATATTCCAAAACGAGAAGGAGTGCCTGGTTTGCTGTTATGGTCGCGGGTTGTCTGCGACATGCAATGCACGAAGCTTGAAAGGCTTTACAACGACGCAAAAGTCGACACCAATGCTACTACGGATTTGCAATCAACCAAAACCGGCTACTAGCTACTGTTCTATCATCGCGCAATGCTGTCAAGTGGTCAGCACGCTTGGATCAGACTGCTCACGACATCTTTCGGTCCGAAAAAGGTTGCATTTCCTCGTAAATGGCATCACCCTGCCTCTGGTCTCACATGCACTGCCTACCTGCTCTGGAAGACCTTTTTCCTTTTGTGTTTGCCATTTCCCTTGTCCGCTCCCTAGAAGCAAGTACCAAGCCTTCTCGTTTCGTATTTACTCGACCTTGTAGGGGTTTAGGATCCTCAACTTCGTGTTTAGGCGACATCAATAGCTATCGGCCGTACTGCGGGCTTCCGACGTCGGACACAAATTTGTTTGCAAACGCCCTACCAAAACTTCTGTCTGCAAGCTGCTTGGTGAATTTAATGGCCTATAGGATGTCCCTATATAGAAGGCTTCTTGCTCGAGTCAGCTTTCACACAGATCACACAATCAGAGCATCACCACGCCTATTCACACACACCCTCTTCCTATCTACCGACCACCCCGACCCCTTTTCTCCATATTCTCTCAGTTGTCTTTTTGTTATTGTACATGTATTTTCAGCCGCATTTGACTTTAGAGCACCATGTACAAAAGTCGCTTGCCATCTTATCTCCTACATCCCTCTAACCTTGCCAATGTGCACATGCCTCTTAACCCTAAACAGCTAGATTAACTACAATTTGATTGACGGAACAATTCTGACAAGCATCGAGTATATCACCCTAGAATTTGAACACTTTTTGATGCTAACGACTAGAAATGCACAGCAACCATAACCTAGGAGCGACCACAGCTAAAAACATGGATCGAGAACACGGCAGCCATGGTTTGTCTAAAGAGAGGTTTAGTAGACGGACAGTGAAGTACAATGGCAGCGCTACTCAAGAAAGCATCAAGTCCACTTTTGGTATGCATAAGCTAGATAGCTCGAGCCGTGTCGAATCCATGCTCGGAACATTAAGTCATCGTCACATAAGACTTATCCATCTGGATCTCGCTTAAAACCAAGTGCTCAGCAACCCATCCACATCTACGGATGCCAGAACGTCTCGTCACCGAGGTCTTCTTTTTGGTCTAAAGAACTGATTTTGCTTTTGAAAATAGGCTGATTCTGTACTTAGCAGTCATGTTCTTGCTTCATACAAGGAGAGAGCTCTAGCAGGCTCTAGTCCACTGTAACCTGTGAATCGCTTTGGCTCGCTCTTAGATACTGATATTTGATAGTAGGATAGGAGTGAAGTCTTAAGCGCTTTCGGTTCTTCGTTTTAGCTACTTAGAACATACTCACAAGCAACTTTGCTTAGGACTTAGAGCTAGACATTCAAATCTTCCGAGAAAGAGAACATCTAGACCAGACAGTGTGAAATGGAAATAATCCATAGACATAATGGAAGACAGAGTAGAGGAATCAATCAAGCGTTCTGGACCCTGAGTTGAAAGACTGTTACGCAAACGCAGCACTAGCTCCGCAAGAGCATCGGGCAGGAAATGTCGCTCTCAATCTGCATGCTTCTCTTAAGGATGTAAGCGACTATTCCAATTGTCATGTTATGAGTGAGGCTTACAACTAAGTTCAACACAGTCTACAAGGCTGATTAATCTGCACAGTATCGACGAAATTTTCCAGTGCAGGCGTCAAGCAGAAACTGCTCTTTCCTGCTAGGCTTGTTGTCAAACCACATGTCACCTAGTACTTCTGATACATGTGACCGCACACAGCGGACTTATATATATACCAGCCACATGGACAGAGACTGGGGTTGAAAGGAGAGTTAACCAGGCGTTAGCGGACATCGATACCAATATCGCATAGACATATTTGGCTTAGAGGAATTGCTGATACTGCCGTTGCCCTGTTACGAGGTTGAGTAGTCATGATGCTTCAGTGTGAGGCAAGAAATAACAGAACCGAAGGGGCATCGCTCGTTTTATAAAGCCATTGTTTGTGCTGCAGCCGTACGATGTCAAGGTCGTTTGCTGTCAGGTCATTCTTATTGGACGCACATGTCAATTATGCCTTAGCTGCAACCGAGCACTAACAGACATGCAGCATTAAGCGCTTGTGTCTACTGCAGCGCGTAATTTGGCGTTGCCAGTCACAGATCGTTAGTCCGCGGCTGTTAGTTACAAGCGCGTGGCTTACAGACTGCTTATCTCGAACTTGGTGATCATCACTGTTCTGCAATGCTTGTTAGTCATGTGCAGATTCCTCCATCCCTTCATTCTTATTTACTACACCATCAGATTTTCTTCGTGCTTCGTATGTCTGCTATGGTTCCATATCATACAGTACTTCCAGATTCTCCGCCACACAGTATCCGCTCATGATTGACCCGGCATATCGATTCTTCGCCGACAGTGGTGGTGGTACTAATCATGTTAACGATGAAGTTATTATTATGGACTTTGACCAACGCCGCCATTATTCCATTCGTGGTCCATCAAGTTTCTTGAGGCTGGCCGACGAAGCGTGCGAAGGGTCTGATGCAATCGAAGTCCTAAAGCGATATATGAATGAACTCGACCCTGCTGTTCAAACCCTCAATGTCGACCCTAATTCCTATCGAAAGGTCCATCCCTCGGAGCAAGACCCAGACGTGGTCATGAGGCTTGAGGAGCTTGGTGGTGTATCTTGGTTCGACATAATGAGCATGGAATGCACCTTTCTGGAGACTCTAAGTCTTGGAGAAGGTAGTGGAATCAGCCGCGAAGACCTTCACTATTTCTTGTGCAGAGCAACCCATTTGCGGGCGGTGAAGCTTGATCGCGGCAACGAGCATCTTCTCATTGATCTTGTGCGGCCCTACCTCAAGAGCCTGGAAGTCCATCCAGAATGGATGATGCGTTGTGACTCATGCGACATCTTGTCACAGTTGCATGCTCTTGAGTACCTCGATGTTACAATCGCAGATGCCACTATCACAAGTGATAAGCTTCTCAGCCTCCAATCTCTCAGCCATCTCACTCACCTACATATATGGCCGACCAACAATATCGGTGCTACGAAATGCACTGTCACAGCAGCAGAGTTGGTCAATCTCATCGAAGCTCTTCCGGAGCTCGTTGACCTCCGTATCTGGCTGGAGTTTGACTTCTTTTGCTTTGAAGAAGCGGTCCAGGCTGCATATGATCTGCTTGGAAGATATCCACAGTTCGACAACCGGGAGAACCGTCAATCGTATCTGGACTACCTTCATAAGATAGTTGCGGAAGAGGCGGAGGCTATGATAAGGAGATAACGCAGTGCTGAACCTTGAAGGCAGAGCGAGAGGACAGTGAGAGATGCTGGGTAATGCTAAGATGGGCTCAAATCGGGGATCAAAGCCGCTGCAAGAGCAGAACATTTGCGACCAGAGTGCTCATACAAGATAGCACATCAACGTCGGTTTCCAGATCTTCGCACGACAAACTGTCCGTTCGGATGTGGCAAGTTTTTCCTGGTGACGCTTCCCGAGGCATTGTTTTGCCAGAGATGAGGTCCGGGCGATTGCTCACTTTGAGAGCAAGTGAATCAACCAGCGCAAAAAGTTTTCAAAGTGTCGACAACAGCTAGATGCTCTTAGCAAGTGCTTGCGTTCAGACTCTGTTGCTTCTTTGTCGTCACTTTGAGCCATCAAAAGCACTCAAGCTCTATCTCGTTCCGGTGTTGAGAGCAAGAAGTCGTCACAAAAGTGCTCGACCGAGGCAGGACAAAGACCGCAACTTTTCGTTTCATTCAAAGCAAAATATCTTTTGAGCACGCCAAGATCACCGATTGATCGCATTCGAGCTGGCTCATCTGATGTAGCTTCGAGTCGCGGCTGCACTCAGTTTGCCCTCAAGTGAAGCCGACCAGCGCAAAAGTTTTCCGAAGTGTCAACAACAACCAAGCACTCTGCATCAGCTTTCTCTCGCCGCAATTTTTCTGCGTTGTTCTCGCAACCTTCGAACCATTGACTTCACTCAGACCAAACCTCATTACAATGTTGCGCGACGACATTCACGACTGGATGCCAGCGTCTCCACAAGCCCCTCACATGGACAGCCGACCCTCGACAGTGCGGCGCCGGGAAGCGGTACTCGACACCCTCAAAGCCATCGAGCAAGAGCGCTACAATTCCGGGTGCCCCTACGAAGATGACCATTGTCGTCGCTATCGCAGCGAGGTTCACAACCTAGTCTGGCACTTCGATCCCTACGCGCCGCAACTTGAGCCGTCTCCTCTCCTCACTCAGATCGGCGAGCTCCCAGAGTTGGTCAAAACNATTCTCTCACATCTGGACCTGGACGACCTGTACCGCTGCCTGCAAGTGAACAAAGCTTGGGCCAAAGAGGCAGTCCGCTTCATCTGGCACAGCCCCAATCACAAGCGCCTGCTTTCTACTTCGATCTCCGAGAAGCGTGTCCAAGAATACGCTGCCCTTGTGCGACACATGGTTCACACGGCCTGCACAGGCAAGCATCTCGAATCCAACTTCTCTTGGGGTCCCGGCTTTTCGACCACCAGGCCAGTACCAAGGCTGCCTGGTCTCACCAGTTTGGAATGCGAGTCGAACTCATTGCGCAACAGAAGGATCGAGGAACTGTCCACAATCTTTGTGCCCACTCTGAAACGATTGATTGTACAAAAATATGCCGCCTATGATTGGGATCGACCTATTCACTATCACTCTCAACTTGAAGGTGTCTCCTGGTTCGACTTCATGACCGAAAACTGTCCCCTCCTCACGTGCATCAAGCTGGGCGGCGGCTTACACATCGACACCGCTACCTTTAAGCGATTTCTCAAGAAAGCTGCACATCTCACATCGGTCGAGCTCGGCAGTGGTAACGAGCATCTCCTCGTCGACGAACTGGTTCCCATCCTGAAGAGCACGAAGCTCACTATCAGCCACCATTCGTATGAAACCAACGCCATCAACCTCGGACAAATTTGGAAGATGCATGCAATTGAGGATATCGAACTTACTGTCTGGAATGTGTGTTTGACGGGTAGCGACGTTCTCGAGTTCAAGGCTCTGACCAGACTGAGGTCACTACAAGTCTATGCAAGAGGCAGTCCTGCTCTCACCAGATGCAGTGCGTCCGCAGAACAGTTGGCACAGATGATTGAAGCAATGCCCCGTCTCGATGAGTTCAAGTTGGAGATTACCTGCGAGTTCATGGAGAGTCATCCAGAGTTGCTTCAAGATGAGTGGGAGGCTGGTACTTACTTCGAGGGTCACAGTTGTCGCCAACAGTACTTGAACTATTTGCATGAGATCGCAGAGCAAGAGCGTACAATTGCAGTTGCTGTTCCTGATAACCTTTTATTGAGTTCCTGAGCGGGCACGATCAAGAAGCGTGAGATTAGCACTTGAAGGTGTGTCTAAACATTGCCAAAAAGCTCGATAGCATCGGTATTCATATAGTTTCCAATGCCATTTATACTACTTGTCTATAATGTAGAATGTATCATGCCATCAAAATTTTTACTATGACTCACGTGGCCTGACAGACCTGGCTAGAGCTGAGCTGAGCTGAGGATCGGGAAAGGGGCAGGCCTAACCAAGCCCGCGTGAGACCGCCTTTTCATTATTACCAAACACATCCTCAGATTTCTAGCAGCTGTAAGTATGGCACAATCGAGACAGACGGACGAGTGGAAGCTCGAGACTGAATAAGATTGTCAGCGACCGTGAGGTAACGGTCGGTAGAATCCAGCGGATCACGCCACCCTTCGGACCTGGCTTAGAATCAGCAGCATGTCAGCCACGTGTTCCTAGAATTTGCAAAAGTCGATCCACGTTGTCTTAACGCGAGATGGGCCCAGGTACCGGGTTCGTGTCTCTACGACGTTACACAGAGATGGTAACAAGTCATGCCCGAGCTACGACAAGTTAAACTTTATAGAACTCGATGGTTAGGTACATCACGCCAGTCCCATATGCACCCACCCCTGAACATACAAATGCCGAAGGCTATTTGCTCACTAGTAAGACATAGACTACACTGGCCTCAGCCGCTCACCTCCAGCAATCTAGCTAATGCCACAGAAACCGTGGTGACCAATACGTCAAATACGCATCCCCACGTTGTTCCTTGCAAGCTCGATCAAACTGCTCTTTCACTCCACATTTGTCTAACCGAACACGCCATATCGAGTTAACCCTAATCACCTTGTTACAAGTACGGAAGATCACGCCAACGAACATTCAGATCCTAGACATGTCTGTAAGCCTCAGCTGAAGTGAACTATGCATGATACAAGGTGATATATGATGATCTGGATATATATGTATATATATACATACTCTACACGGACACTCCTCGAGATTGAATCAACTCAACTTCCTCCGCATTGACACTCATCCTAATTAGATTTCACAAGCTGCTTTCGTCATGGACATGTTTGGACTGCCCTACTGGAACGACATCGTACCCATGGTGGATCATGTCCACAATCGCATCCACCAACACCAAACCTTCTTGAGCCAAGTGCTGAGAAAGAACACGGACGAGAAAGCCCACCCCAATTATCCTGACGTCGATCTCTGGACTTTTCCAGACCACTACATTGTTGAAATCGAGGTCCCAGGCGTTGGCAACGTCAAGGATATCCATGTCCAATGGACTGGTCCACGCTCACTCGTTGTCAGTGGTTGGATCGACCGAAGCAATCTATCCACAACCAAAGGTCTAGAAAGCGCCAGCTCCTCCTTGAACGGTACCCCACTGGACGTCAGCAAACAAGATCACAACGAGTGGCCTCACTTGATGGTGGGAGAGAGAAGAATCGGCTATTATGAGCGCCACTTTACCTTTCCTGGTGAAGCCAACATTCCGGATGTTCATGCACATCTGAAAGCCGGATTGTTGACTATCAAAGTCCCCAGAAAAGAGCGGCACAAGCTTCCAGCCAATGGCATGGTCGAAGTTGATTGTCGAGACAACTGAACATGGGGTATCGGTGAACTGTCATATTGTCATCGCGAGTCTCTGTTTCCTAGTTTTGTCTTGTTGATTGTGGCTTTTGTATGTTGCAGCCGTGATAATTTCTCAATATACGCCAGTTCTACGCTTTGCCATACTATCATATAAGCTTTTCGACCGTCATTCCTCTAAAAGCTTGATCATTCACCATTTGATGGGTCAAGTAAACCCGTGTACCATCTGCTGGTACGGCAGCAGAGGCCTCACAGACACCACTGGTCATAAGGATCAGATGATGGTATAATGGTTGCGATGTTGACTGCCATGTCTGTAAATGTATGAGGCATCGTATACATGGTCTCAGAATGTGTAGCTCCTTGTTTCCACATTCTGAGCGCCTTCCTGCGAGATATACTCGAGTTGACATATTTTGAATTCGAAACCGACCAGGGCATGAGTATACGAGGCAGAGAGATTAACTTAACGCACCTTGTCTAGTTGTCAGGGGATGTTTAGGGGTTTCCACCTCAAGCCTTTTTGAGTTGGCGTGAGCATCGAGACTCTCACATGTCGCAGCTTCCGGCATATACTGGATCCTTCTGGTTCACTCAGGCCCAGATGTACACTAGCAAGATCGTTGGTCACGGATGGCGAGACTCAGATGATCTCGGAAGAAGCGGGAAAGAACGGAAATGTGGCCAATAATGATTGTACATATCTTTGACCATCACCAGTGCTTGGGTCTGAGCATTTCCGGCGCATATCTTCTCCCCTCTTTGAAAAACAATAAAAAAACATCTTGAAGCAATGAGCACCGATTCGCTACAAATGGGAGGGCAAGACGCGCATCCGCGGCCCTCTGCTGCAGTGGCAGCTATTGTTCCAGCACTCTCATTTATTCTTCTCGCAGCGATGATAACAATGTAATTGAATCATCGATTATTGTCAGTGTGCGACAAGGCTAAGGTGTTCCAAAAGGACAATCACTATCAACAAGTGGAGCCGACGTCCCTGCTGGGCAATCGTTGAGAGAGAGCCCGAACCTGCTCTCATACTGCAGCCGGAGGAAACATTCGGAACATGGAAGAAACTGTTACGGCCATCTTTGCAAACAAGGATCCCGACCAATCCTCTGTAGTATGTCGGTTCATCAATAATGGCTTCATTGCTATTGACGCAACTCGAATCAGTGCCATATGCATTGAGAACGTCTGCCAGCAAAATCGGTTTGTTGGGCTCAGATGCTTGCACGTCTTTCACAGCACTTGTCTCAACCAAGTCGCCTCAAAAGGCTTCCGGAAATGCCCGTTATGCCAGCAGCCCATTGTGTCGATGAGTGGGGAAGCAGGTAGCAATTTATCAGAAGATGATACTGAAGCTGCTCAATTCGCGGGCCTAGCAAGACTTGAGCGAGGGATCAGCTAGAGCTGGCTATATGCCAATGATCATAATGTTGTATGTAGCCTTCTGGAGTATGTAACCTAGAGTCTTCGAAAATGTTGTTCTTGGCTGCAATCAATCTGGCATAGAGATCATTTTTCAAGCTCAAACTGAACTCGTCAATTGGGTACCATAGGCCTGCATGAGTAATTTTTAGGATTTGCAGATAGGTCCTGTACATTTGGCCATGATGGCGTGGTGTTTGCTGATCATTCGTGTCTTGCTAGCGTCCCTAGTTCGTAATGCCATGTCAGGCACGTCGTTTTGTGGATCCGCATTGTCATCCAGATTACACCATCACGTCAAACCAATGGCCTGACTTGATGTCAGCTAGAGCTTGATGGTGTCTACTCTCGATCTAGTGACGTGGCTTATTTGCGTTCATAAACACATTGTCACGCCATCAACCAATGTCACATACAGACATAAATACATAAATACTCTCGACCCGATTGCTCCAGTCTCAATCTTTCACAAGTCTTAACAACATCATACACGGAATAATGGCTCGAGCAAACAATATCGAACATCAAGAATTGCAGGTCAACACTGCACCAAGGTCAGTTGACCAATACGTGCTCCGAAGTCTGACCATATCTGATGACATCTCAGAGGCCGCAGCTTGACGAAGCGAGCGCGATTTGTCAACTCATTCATGCCAATTTCGCTACAAGACCCACAAGACGCGGAGTTCTTTGCCCGCGAAGTCGCTGCGGCTTGTTTCAGCTCATGCTCTTCCACGGAGACTGTCCATCCACCCGGCATGCCACCACGCATACAGGTGTCAGAAGATGCACAAGAGGATAACAGGCAGCGCGACAGGATCTCTGTCGTACGCAAGGACAGTGGTTATACCACGGAGGATCCAAAGAAAGCTCAAAATCTGGATGTGATCTACAGACCATACTCCTGGGAAGACCACAAGCGGAAGCTGTTTTCGGATTGGTTGGATAGCCAGCCGGATGCTCACGGGGACGTCTGGGGATTTTCTTCGTCGAGCTGCACTCCTGTTTGTCTTTCAAGGTCGACCTCGGTCGTTCATATCACGAGCGAAGCTGGAGACAAGAAGGGAAGCAGATAAAGTCGTTTCCAGGATGATCGGGGTGTCATGATTCTATTGCCGGTGTCTCTATACAAAGTAACATGTGTAAAAGGTTCAATCAATCTGGTGTCATTTCAAATGCATCTCGCATAGATTCCGAACGCCGAGGCTGTATTGTAGTCCTTGTCAGGTCATTGAAGGTCCAGCGGATGTCGGACCACTGGAGGTCATGGTCCAACCCCGCTCCGCCTGTTCCCTGTTCCCAAGATTCGGTCATGTTGTGACTAAATAGTAACAGAACAACAGCTCCCATGTCCGTATACTCGAAACCGTCAAGTATGCATGAGCAACCTGTTAGCAACATTGCTAGATCATGTCTTCTTGTCGCACTCGCTATGTAGAACGGCCACCAATGACTTCTGACAAGCATCGCCTCGAGCTTGCAGTTTTGTACATATATCAACGAACACGTAGCAACTGATTGCACCGCTGTCTTTGCATACTTCCGACAAGATGTACATCAGAACATATGTCTCAACCGAAGAAGTCGCCTCAAATGTCTCTTCCGGAGATTTCTCATCGCCGAGGGCGTATTCGGGCCTGCTTGAGCGGTCCGGAGGCTAGGCATGCTCAAAAGTGTTCGTTTCAACCTCCTGGGCTTGAAATAGGTCTGGAATGGCAGCATCCGGGTGTTGCTGGCGAATTCGATCGACAACCGGGCACAAATCGCAACGAACCTGCCCACCAACCCTTTCAAGCTCGATGCAGAGTCCAGAATGTCGCTCGTTCGCAGCGTCTATAGCAGTGCGAAGACGGGACAACATGTCTGCAGCAGCGGCAAGGATATTCGCTTTAGTAGAGTTGAATTTTGGATGAAGCTCAAACGCAGGATCATCATCGCGGATTTCGTCGAGTTTCGCAGATAGCTCGTCGAGAAAATAGTTAATACCCTTCCTGTATCTTTGTTCGGCTTTGCGATGCTTAGGTCTGCGAGAGGAAGTGGACATGATCTTCAAAATATTCTTGGTGGCTGCGTCGTCGGTAGGCTGCTGCAATGCCGTAAAGTGGTTGTCAGAGTGTTGGTGCAAGTATGAAGCACAAGTCCTTGCTTACAGGTCAAAGGCGTTGAGGTCGATTGTTGAGAAGTATTTCGAGATGATTGTCGGTTGCTCCCGCCGAGAAACAGCTCGGGTGGAGTGATTTGACTACAGAGTTGCGTAAACCTGAATCTCACGTCAGCCCTTGAGTTTGATCCCGATCCTCAAACTCGATTGCACAAGGCAGGCTTAGGTAAGCTTGACCCACGTTCGCGGGTGGGGGAGTTTGAACCCTGTCTTTTGGCCCGAAGTGGGCAATAGACTTGTTCTCGATGCGGCGCCAACAGATAACGGATGAACTTTGGTGATTGTTCTGTACAAATGCGCTGTCCAATCCTTTGCAGTATACAAAACGAGCTCTTTCTATGTCAGCAGACACTTTGGACCTCCCGAGTTGTCGCCAAGATGCAAGAAGAGCTGCCGAACTCAGGCCAACTCGACAGATGCCTCGTATGCTTGTCTCAGATAGACAAGCAGCCAGAGTGGGACCTTACATCTCTCTTCACTACCCAAGAGAGTCAAGCCACTGTCGATACTTGGCAGCCCGAACTACATGCCTGCCCTGCTGGAATTATGGTACCACATCAGGAATCACCAGATACCGATCCTACGAGAGATGGCCGCAGCGAAGGCGCAACGCAGCAACAGCACAAAAGAAATGCCAAGCATCCGATACCACACAAGATCATTGAACGACAACATCGAGCAAGGTTCAACACACAACTTGACTACCTGAAAGAAACCCTTCGAGAGGAACTGTCAGCTTCAGATCTCGAGGACCTGTGGTGTACCAAGAATAAGGAACCCACAAAGGCCAAGATCATAGAAGGTGCGACCAAGCATCTCCAGGAGTTCCGGTCTCGATTACGTGACCTCAAGCTCAAGAACGAGGATCTCGTATATCGAATCAACGAGTTACAGAAACTCGCTGAGTGCAAAACTGCCCTATCGTCGCTTTCGCAGGGATGCGTACAACATCGGGATATGATTGGTAGGCAAGACATGCTTTTAGGAAAGCAAGTCGACCTGATGTGTCCATGCTCATGTCTACATGTATCCTTTGTCTACTTGTTCATGTATCTTGTCTTTGCTTAGTTAACACCTAGTCAGGCTCGAATCTATTTGACATGGATGGATAAATTTGATGGGAGGATTCAATTAGACGCACATATCTGGCTTAGCTTGTACTTCCGCTTCCAGCTGAAGAAATATGCCTATCTTCTCAATCCACTCCCTCAAACCCGCCGAAGATCTCTCAAGAGTCCCCGTCCTTTTCAGGGTCCGTATCTGGCTCTTCTTGTACCAAATCAGTGAACTCGTCCCGGAGCCAATTCAATGAATTTTGGATGGACATGTGGTTGCTGGAAGACCAGACAGTATGGGGAGGATGTTCACCATATCGTGTATCGTCAGGTTGCCAAAGAGGCTTTGATCGTCAACGACGAGTTCAAGGTCCGGGAAGTAGAACCAAGTCAATTTCGATATATGATACTCGATAAGAACAGCAGTGACATATGAGCAAACCATGACGCAGGCATCGATGTCGAGAGTCAGATGAGTAAGGCATTTGAGGCTAGCAAGAGTTTGTTCGAACCGCAGACCTGAGACTTGCAAACACAGTTCTTCTTGGTCATCGTCGTAGCTTATAAAGCTGATATCCAGCGCCTCGAGAACCTTCAGTTGGGTCAATGAGCAAAAGTCATCTTCTAAGATTTGCAGGCCATGATCGAGTCGAATAACAAGGTGCCTCAAGCTAGAAAGAGTGCTAATGATCGCGAAGATGCGCGATCTGTATCCAGGCTCGAATTGTTCCCAGTCGCGCTCCAGAGTAAGATTCAGGGATTCCAGGCTGTTGATGCCGCTCAGTAAGATATCATAAGCTGGCTCGGCGGCATCGGTGCAGAAAACCTCAAGCTTCTGGAGGTTTCTAAGCTTTTATCTGGATCGATGTCGTGCACAGTAGCCAGAGTCATTCTGTAGCTCAATGCGAGGCTGTTCAAATGTGGCAGGTAAAGGATTGCCCTGACTATTTCCTCGTTCAACACCGTGTTGACCGCTTCACCAAATCTCAGTTCTTTGAGATTGGCCATCTTCTCGAGAGATGTACGTAACAAGTCACTACTGACTTGCAGCTCGATATCTAGACACAGAGACTCCAGACCAAAACACGACTGGCGCACATGTGAGATCCATGCATTGTCGGAGAATACCGGAACCCTCGCGGCCAGGTTGTCACCTTCCCCCCATATGACGAGACGCCTCAGAGATGGGTTGAGAAAAGGGATGAGATCGTCAAGAGATATCCGGTGGAAGACGGTATCGAAAAGCTCAAAGGTCTTCAAGCGCGAGAAGGAGGGGCATTCAGATGGTTCTCCCGTCCAAAATTCTTCGTGGTTCCAGAATCGGACGGTCTCAAGACATGCTGCGTAGTATACACGCCTGGATGGCGACCGAACGTGTGTAACCAGATGGCTTGGTTTTCCGTACAGCCACAACATTGGCGCAGAAGCAGCGAACCACGCTTTGCTGACTCTACAGAGGCTGTAGAGCGTCTGCGGGTAGTCGCGGACGTGGTCGACTATCATATTCACCAGCTCAGCAGGCAACCCGTTCATCTGTGAGTCAATCTTTGGGGTTGTCTCGGGGCCAAGGCGTGAGACCAGGTCACTGTGGGATCGTTCAGTAAGATGTATACAGGCGGTAAGAGGTCCGAGACTTGGTTCTGACCACGTGGGCAACTCCTTGTCGATCATTGTGATTGCGTCTGGCCTTTGAGATGAGGCGGCAGGTACTGCTGCATGCAACAATTTGGTCGTCATGGCGTGGGGGATTGATATCAGGAGCGAAATCAATTATGGACGGAACAAGCACAAACATATCATGGTCAGGATCAAGCTTGGACCACGGTGCTGTTCTGCTGATAACATCTTTTCGAATCTAATGAGAATGGGACACCTTCTTCGTGCTCGACACACGCAGACAAATGGTACACTTGAACGAGCCTGATGGTTCACACAAGCTACAAGAGGTTGCGTGACAATTTTGAGTTTACTGTCAAACTGATCATGCTGAGTGTCAGCCAGCGATAAGAGGACCTTGGCAAACACCACCTTAGGGCAGGCCCCATCATTCGACACATACACAGTGTGATCAAGCCTGGTTGATGTTTGATACAAGCATTGTCAACACTTGGTCTCGTGGTCAGAGCCACTTGCCCAATCCGCTCATCTCGTGAATTCTGGCATGATGATGTTTCGTGGAATCGTAGGCAGTCAGTCAGACCACCGTGAAAAGCACGAGATGCTTGATTCGTCAGCCAGACTAAAACTGACCTCAAGGCCTGCTGCTCAACAATTTTCTCAAGCAATCACAAGCATTCACTATGTGCATGATCAGAATATTCAGTTGAACCACCACCATGACAGCAACAGGATGTGAATTCGAGATATCGAAAAGATGCTGACTAGTGTCCTACCCATGGAAAACTGCACGAGACAAATAAGTCATCATGTCAACTGTCAAGTTGTCGCTTTTGCGCTTCACCTCAGTCTCCTCATTGTCTGGTCGATGTAGATCGAGCTGTGCTGCTGCGACTAGACGAGCTTGCTTTTGTGGAAACGAAAGACGTGGCTAGGGTTGTTTTGGTGGCCCAATAGTCCACGAGAGCTTTTTCGACCTGATTGGCATCGATATAAGCGTCTTTGCTCAGGAAGAATTCGGTCTTGTTTCTGATGGCATCGTCGCTGAAGACGCCTTGCCGTAATAGGAAGTCATTTGGGGCAAATGCTTTGGCTGAATAGTCAGGATCGGTAGGATCCAAGAACGACGTTTTCTCGTTGTAACCAAGATCGATTAGCTTTGTGACATTGAATGCGACCATCATGTCGTGGTCCTCATGAATGAGGTTGTGACAGTGGAACATGTAAAGACCATCCCACGGAGCAAACCGGGCGACGACTCTTACACGTTCTCCCTTGTTCAGCCAAACGACGTCTTTGAGTGCATTTTTCTCCCAGGGCATCACACCTTGACGCACACCATCGGTGCGGCTGATGACTTGGAAGTCGATCAGATGGATATGGATTGGGTGACTCCATCCGCCGCCGCCGTTGTGCAACTCCCAAACCTCGACATCGCCACGCTTGGGTGTGGCCAAGACTCTGTCGTTGACGTCCGACCAGGTCACGCCGTTGACCTTCCACTCACCCCCGCTGCGTGCGAACTCGAACTGTCGGTCAACGCCCGCTTTGGCCGGAGGCAATGGTACGTCACGGAGTTTGGTTGGCAGTTGATTGTTAGCCTGGCTGGAGACACTCTTGCCGACTACGAAACGCATTACTTTGTCTGTTGCAGCATAGTCGTCGTCGGCAGCCACGCCTCTCATGTTTCTCAGAGTAATGTTCTGGCCTTCGAATCCAGCAAAGTCGAACACGACCTCGTAGCGTTCCGCCATAGATATGTCCAGCTGTGTCGTCTGCACTGGCGCGCTGAGCAAACCTGCATCAGAGCCGACAACATAAAAAGCAAGACGAGTACCAGGCTTCTTATCGGCTTCTGCATAGAGCTGGAAAGATCGGCTGACAGAAGTATCGAGGAGGCGGAAACGATATTTGCGAGGCTCAACTGATAGGTAGGGCCAGGGTTGACNCTGTGAATCTGTCAGAACATACGCTCATATGCTCACAACTCTGGACATGAGCAGACCATTTACATGGATCACGTCTCCAAAGAGACTGGTCGTCTCCTGGTTAGCATCTGGACTCCACAGACTGAAGTCGGCGTTATATCTTTTCGAAGCGATCGCCAGCGGGATGTCGTATTGATCCTGAGGCAAGCCGCTGTTTCTTTCTTCAGCGTCGTGGAGGATATAGAATCCAGCCTGGCCGAAATATGCGTTCTCCTGTTGAACAGTCAGAAGACAGTGTGACGCATTGAGACAAGATTGCAAGCATACAGCTGTGTGACCCTGGGCGTGGTCATGGTACCAAAGAGTTCTGGCAGGCTGTCCGTTGGGATAGTAGTAGTCTTTGTATTGACCAACCTCCGTCGTGTCTGCAGCCCACCCGTCGAATGGAGCTCNGACCTGTGATGTCGTCAACACATGTACTCACATTGGCACGCTGCAGGATGGAAACTGACTGTATGACCCATGTAAGTGTACAGAATTGGCTCTGTCCGCATGGTTGATAAAGCGAACAATGGCCTCCCTTCCCCTCTCCATATGGAAGGTGGGTCCTGGAACACTGCCATTGTATCCAACATGGCGTGTCTTGGTACCAGGATAAATTTCGATATCGACAGGTTTGATTTCTATCTCATAGTAGTCGATGTTGTCGANATTTGCTGCGGATGATTAGACGATGAACTCCCCGTTTTAGGTAGGCTTTACCAACCGATAAGGCTTCGCAGGGTCGGGAATTGGAAGTGGTCTACTGANAAAGGCTTTGTATTCGGGGCTCAACCATTGACCATCCACAGCCGAGAGCCATGAGAGGGCCAACAGGAGAGCCGTTGCCTTGGGCATTGTGCCGTATGCCATCTGAGATCAGCGATGGTAGACGACGATTTAATCAGGAGTAGTGAGGGACTTTGAGAGACTTTGAGCGAGTTTGAGCGAGTTTCAGAAAACAAACCAGGTATTTATGCCCAGGGATATCCTCAAGGCCGTCAAGCATTCTCAAGCACCGTCGAGACAGACTTCACTGCTGACCGTCAGATTGGCAGAGTGGCAATTCCCCTTTCGAGACCAGTGCTGCCATATGTATCGAGTCTGTCTGGCCTGACTACACGAAGAAGGATGAGCATCATGCGAGAATGGCTACACAATTTGGTAGGTGGTCCTGTGGCGGATGGGAATCCAGCTCAGAGACAGCACCACCTCGCTGAGCTGTTCGCTACTCCACGCGAACGGAGCCTTTGGGCGATTGACAATGTCTTAGGTGCAAGAGTCGCGCCACTCAGACGCTCTCTTCTGACATGCCGCTGTCTGCATGGAGCCCAGCAATATTTTTGGCGACAGCGACCATGTGGCCAAGGAAGTTTCGATGGCGACAGGTGTCGGAATCTTGGATGGTCCAACGCTTGCATAAGTCAGAGTTATGCAAGCCCCGCATGTGGCTGATTAGTCAGGGCGGTCGTATTTTCAGCTGCCAAGTGGATCGACAGATCTCGACCGAACCCTCTCCCTTGCTCGTCGTTGTAGCTACTCGAGTACCACGGCGATACTCGCCAAGCCAAGCATCTTGATTCACAGTTGTAGCAAGTTTAGTGGCTGCGATTCCGTCCTGTAGCGAGATAATTGGCGCAGCATGTCCGAACCGGATGATTCTTCGACCGATTCGACCAAATGACAACAATTGCAAACCCCGGCACTCATAGATCTTCTAGATCCAATGCTCGGTCTGTACGAAAGAACATATTCCGTGTCTCAAGCCTAATATGGGCTGATTGCATCTCTCCTGTTGATCATTTCCTTGAAAATTCCGTGCCATATAGAGGTTTATGTAGAAAGGAAGAGCAATCTGTTTTGTGATATATAGCCTCACATTCTTTGGCAATCCATTGTCGTTATTCACCAGACTTGAGTCATCCCACAGCCATGTATGCTCTCATCATCTTTCTATACTCCTTCAGTTTCGTCCTCGCACAAACTGTTATTCCTTTCGCCGTAGATGGACGGCTCGATGTGTAAGTCAAGAACAGTGGCTATCACTAATTCTGTCACCCTTTCGTGGACTGATACATCCCNAGTGTGACCGTCACCGACTCTTCGTACAATTCAGGCGGCACTGCCTCGGTCAATGGATTCACAATTACTGTACCACAAAATCTTTTGGTTCGCTTCCCTGCAGCATTTAAACCTTGGCGAGAGCTGAGCGGCTTCATTGGAAGCGAAGTGTCCGTCAGTAATCTCGACATATAACGAATCAAAGGTTGTGAACTGATTACTAGTGTCAGATCACTNGGTAATGTAGTCAATGGAGTACCTACCGCTGGACTCATCGACATCTCAGAATACCTTCTCGAAGCGAGTTCTGGTATCATTGAAAGCATCGACAACACAGCCGGCACCATCAAGATTCTCAATGGACCAACCATCAGGATCAACGATCCTAACGGCGTATATGGTGCCGCTTACACGACCACCCCAGCATTCACGGCCGATGACCAGAATCCGTCCATCACCGCATTCAGCGGATTTCCCATGTGTATTCCAAGGTCAGCCACGAGCGTGGATCCGCTTTGTCCCAGCACAAATCGTCTAGCTGGCCAAAGAAATTTGTGAGTAAAGCCTGAACCTGAAATGTTGATGCATATTTCTAATGCAATACAGCAANNCGCTCCAGATCCATTAGTCATGGCACCTTTTGTTGTCGGAGATTTTCTCGAGTACTCTGGCATCAATGTCAATGGCATGATCGTCTGCTATGCGATCAACGCGCCCAACGTCCAGATTCTCACACCTGATGGCCCAACATACATTCGGGTCGAGGACGCGATCATTGGTGTTTTCGATGGCGGTGCGAATGTGGAGAACGCAGATTCGAGATTCATTGGCTATACCTCCAACCCTCAACCCATCACTCTCTGGGCTCTAGACCTCGATCCATGTACTGGTGAGGAATCGGAACGTCCGATCGGCTCCGCACCTTATAAAGCGGGCGACAACCGCAACAAATGGATCTGGCGGGCAGACACCAGAGTTAATGGCAGGTACACGCGCGAGTATGCTGTGAAATCCAACGACGGGATAGTCACAACCAAGAACAACATCACTGCTGGTCGCTATGTTCAACCAGTCACGGAGTGGATCTTCCCGGAATCCACTTTGCCGGGAAACGTTCCTCCAGTCAACGATTTCTCTGCGCTGGAGCATCTTGCCAAAGGTATCGGATACACTCCAGATGGGGTACTCATTGGCCAGCTCAAACCCTGGCCAGGTGCCAACGTACCTCAAGCGCCAGTCTGTCCACCATTCACACCCGGAAGTGCACCACCAGCTAGTTCGGGCTCAGGCACGGGCTCCACTCCTCCCGCATCTGGATCTGTAACACCCCCATCTGGGCCTGTCACACCCCTTCTTGCTTCAGCGGCTACCATCGCCACAAGACCTGGTGTAGCTGTACCTCTGAAGGTCGACGTCACGAACTCAGCCAGTTTCGCAGCTGGCGATCTCACATTCTCCTGGTCTCAGACCAGCGGACCGGCTGTGACTCTGGCGTCCACCAACGGCCAGTCGACTTCTTTCACTGCTCCTGCTTCCACCACACTTTCGACGTATGTCTTTACGGTTACTGTGAAAAGCACATCTTCTGGTACCACGGCAACAGGTACCTTTACCGTCACAAGTGACCCAACCACGAAAGACACTGTCGTGATCGATGCTTACACTGCAACGACCTCAAACGGAGGTCATCTATCTGTATCGGCCCATACCAATATTGTGGGCTTCGATGCCAAGCTGAGGGTCTATCTTGCCGCAACAGCAACTGGCACGTCTTTCCCTATGACAACCGTTGCTGGCAAGCCAGGATATTACTTTTATGATGCCCCTAAGGGAACCAAGAAAACGGCGGGTGTTACTGTAGTCAGTGATGGGGGTGGTTCTGCCAGCAGAACAACAACGACCGCTTGAACTAACGCTGGTGGTGGGACCTTTGACACTCCTTGAGCCCTTGTGATGTTGCTAGCAGGTCTTCTCAAATTGTTAGTGTATATAGTCTCGCGTATTTGTACTATCCGCGTCTACCTTCTCACCTTACGACTATCCAATGCATACAACTACAACCAAATTTTAGCTCGCTTCCGATTGTTCTCGTGCTGTACTCACCAATCAAGCTGGATAGGCATAGAATGATAGTTTCGTCAAATCTGTGAACGCGGGAATCAAGAGTGAATGACCTAGGATAAGCGTTGACAGATGCTGTGGTGGTAGATACAGGAGTTGTAGCGCAGCTGACGAGTAGCGATTTACTTGCTCGTTGATCTTCACAAAGACTACAGCAGAGTGAAAGCATCATCAAGCCCGAAAACTGGGTCGGCATGAACATCTGACGCGGCACCACATTGTATACCATGAACCTGGTTATAGACAACGAGAAGCTTCCTTAGCCAGGTTCCTTGGGACACTCAATCTCGTAGCATGATTGGATAGAAGGCATACGTGAGCCTGGACTTACTGCAACCGTGGTTCGATAGAGCGCGGTAAGGGGATCGCACGTGGGCCAAGGTCTTGCCAAGTGTACTCGTGTATACCATGATTGAATGCTGCGGTAGATGAGAAGTTCTGGACTTCATTTGATCTTCGACGCGCGGCTGTCTGCCGCTGAACGGCTGGCAAAGGATGAGTGATGACACCTTTTCACAGCGACGGGACCTGAGAGGGGTATTGACATAGGCTTTGAGCATCAGTGGCATGATTGATCGATCATCGCACCGGCTTGCAAGATATAAAGTCTCATCAATCTCAAGCGTTTTGAGACCAAAGATACACTCCAAGACTACTACTCTGACCTCTGATATCCAAAACATGAAGCTCATTCTCAATTCGTCTTCAGCCGCCTTCCTGCTGCTCTGCGTAGCATACGTCGCGAAAGCTTTGCCCCAACCTGAAGATGGCAAGGATGATTCCAAAGCCCCCGAAGATCGAGCAAAGATCTATGTCAATCACGGTGACAACCTCCAGTATGCCATTGATCATGCCAACGCTGGGTCTCAGATCTTCGTCGGCCCAGGTGACTATGAGGGTCCCATCGTTGTCCGCAGAGATCGTATATCCTTGACCGGCCACAATGCTCGCATCTATCCAACCAAGGGCGAAATCTACAAGAACGAGTGCTCAGGCTTCGCTGGAAACGACTCTGCTGGGGTAGACTATGAAGCAGGCATATGTGTCACAGGCCAAGGCATCACTTTTGACGGCTTCCAAGATCACAAAAGATCACTTACGTCGCCAGGCCAGTCGAGGGCGTATCTGTCAGTGGCTTCGAGGTTGTTGGTTTTAAGGGACCCAACATTGCGGTAATTGGTGCGCACAACGCCTTTGTTGGTGGGAACGTCCTTCGAAACAGTCTGACATATGGATGCATTACGGCTGGCTCGGTCAACAGCCGTATCACAGAGAACAAAGTCACTTCTGAAGAACTGAACTTCATCGGCATCTGCATGGATGACAACGGACCTGCGGAAGTCAGCCGCAATGACATCTCAGGCTATAGGGTTGGCTTGTGCCTGCAGACCTCGGGCTCGAAGGTCGAAGAAAACAAAGTCAGTGACTGCTGCTATGGAGCATTCTTGGATCCGAAGATCGAACGAGTCGATATCAAGCGGAACCACATCACTGCCATGAACCCTTCTTGTCCCACTAATATTGGCGCTTCAGGCCTGTTCATCTTCGGTGGCATGAACAGCAAGATTGAGCACAACAAAATTTCAGGCATGAAGAACATCGACAAGACGGGAGCTGGCATCATTCTCTTTGACGCTCCGGACTCGATGGCCACCGGTAATAAGTTCAACGGTAACGAGCTCAAGGACAACGATGTGGACATTTTCAATGGGTCTCAGCAGGGTGACAATAAATTCAACAACAACGACTGCTCGACTTCCGTGCCTCCCAATCTTTGCAAAGCATAAGGAACTTGAGCATGCGACTTGGCCCAGTGGGAACAACGAGACTATGTAGTTGGCACAGATGTTGGCGTTCATATGCAATGGACTTTCTGTAATGAGATGTTTACTGTGGTAGTCTGAGTTAATATTGCTCTCGTTTTGATACGGTCAACCTTGAAAAGTATATGACTCGTGTCTGATATCTGATATCGCGTGGCTTGTGCATTTTATTCCGACTTCGTGAACGCCTCTCGTCCACCACTATCCTGAGTATGAGCCTGCTTTGATATACCATGACTTGTTATTTTTTTTTTGGGGTGCAGTGCGCGCCAAACAATCATGGGTGTATACCAAGAGGACCTATATGGACATCCTCTTTCAATCTTTTTCCTTCGAATGAACAGCGTCCTTACCCACAGAGTCAGTATTCCCTGAACATTGGTGGAAGACCAATCATTTCTGTCCTTCGCCTGCTCACAAATAATATGGTCGGCTGAATGGAGCAACGCGAGAAAGGATTTACAGACGGAAACCGCTTGAAGAGCATAGATATGAGCAAGTCTAGCATGATTCATCAATTCCAGAAACCCATTCGAGGTGAAAATCGAAGGTGACGGCTGTTGACGCGGGGGCACCCTGGCCCCACGCGCCGGATCTGCTGGCCTCACCAGATACAATTTCGAAGGTGAACGAGATTGGCACACAAGCTGTCCAACGGTGACACCAGACCCCTGGTATGCCCTGAGAAGATTCGTGGGTATGGTTTGACGGGTGCGACCACTGCGAGCACTGTGACATGGGTCCTCACCAAATTGATTTGCGTACATGAACCTGATCACCATATCATCACCACCAGAAGCTCAAGTCGCTACCACTTTCCTCCCAAGTTACCGCTCGATAAGGAGATAGCAAGAATTGCTAGTATCGCCAATCATGGCCAAAGGTCCAATCGTTAACATGGTGGGCAAATGGCGCCACCATCATAGACAAAAACATCGCCAAGTATACCATGTAAGTATACTGTGATCGATGTCGCAAGGTCTTGATCGGCGATGTGCCAAGGGCGGCAGTGTTCGGGCGGCATCAATAAACGACTTCGCTTGGGAGTGTGAGCCCTAGTCCCTGCGCCAAGGGCCAAAACTGTTAGGCACGCGGGTGACTGAGGCTCAATCGCTGCTAGCTACGAGAACGGACACATCCTCCGAAGGCTGCCGTGTGACATGAAAGTGGGGTCGAATGGACGGGATGACAGGCGTGGGGGCTGTGTCTTTGCAAACGATGTGTTCACGCCCGCGGGTCGCCACGTTCGTTAGTGTGGCATAAGCATGGGCCCGAAGGATCCGAGTCGGAAAGTTTCAGTCACTAGAGCTTCTTGCAAGGGTTGCCGCAATCCATACATCGCCAAGATCCGTTGGCACCACGCTGAGTGGCTATACCGTTGGACACAGTGGCCATTGTCATCTGATCACGGATCCCGTTTTTCTTCCTTGGCACCAGCTACCATCACCATGCTATGGCTCTGATAAACCCACATGAGGTATTCAGGTTACTTCAGTGACCCAGCACAAACTCGGAGCATACAGTCCATGCTTCGCCGGTCTCTCATCGTGATCTTGAACAGCGTGTAGATCACCATGCATCTGCGACGAAACAAAGACCCTTGCGCCGTGACACCGGTGTCAGTGGGAAGTTTCAAGCATTATTTTTCGAACAGTTTGCTGTGCCAAAATGGAAGTACTTGCATACCCAACGAATTAGGCTTCAACCACACATATTAAGCTTCAGCCATGCATATTACCCAGTCCAACACGCAGCACCCCCATTAGCTACACAACCTGATTGCAATACTGGCGAATCTTTTGAGTATCCAGACACAAGGTTCCGCACCGGACAATCCTCACATAGGGCCAACTTTCGCATCTCATTCGTGCGATCTGCGAGATCAATGTTGCCTTTCGCCATTTTTTTGTATGAAGTCCAGGTCTCGGCGATGTACCTGGTGGCCGCATCGATGATTTCAGCTTTCGATCCTGCAGAGCTGCGCTTGAACATGTTCTCCATGTCGCCCAATGGCTGATATGTGCCGCTTGGTAGTACTTCGGCAAGGCTCAGCAGGTTGTCGCTCACCTTCTGCCGATATCTTTGTTCGACCTTCGCATGGGGAGTTGGACGATTGCGCTTGCGCGTTGCTCTGGTCGGTCTTTTGCAGTGGACGATGGCGTTGGTAAAGAGATTCCAGTGTGTGTGGTACGGCCAGGCACCATGGTCAGGATTGGCGAGAACGACTCTGAACCTGGCCCCACGGGACTGGAAGATTGAGATCTGGAGACTGACAAGATCCGATCGCGGTCTTGATTGGGGAACAAGGAGCCAAGGTAAGATGCTTGACTGTGCTGCAAGAGCACGAAATCTTCTGGCGAGGATTGACTGAACTGAGCACAAGAGGAAGGGCTGCTGCTGCTCATGTGGAATTCTTGGAAGAGAGGTCAGAACAGCTTGCTGGGTTTACTGAGAGCCGTATCTTTCTACGTGCCGCGAGCATATCAATCATTATATCTCCTCCTGAAGATTGTTTAGGACTCCTCAGGTTGGATTAGTTTGATCTGCGGCATGCCGTTTTGTGGCTGATTGTCCAGATCAACGCCCCCGCCAAGACTTGAACCCCTCTTGGAATACATGAACCCTATTCAGGAAGTGGGTGCGACCATGTTTCTACCATTTTCTATTCGCCCAGAAGAGCCAAGCTCTTGCTACGAATCGGACCAATAGCACCAGGGCAGTGCCATGCCTCGCTTAGTCCTCCCCATGTGAACAGCTGGGTCGTATCTCTGAACGAGCATCTGGCGACCATGGTATATAACTGTTTCTGATTCGACGAGTGCTTTTGAGAAGCCCCTGAAATCCTCTGAACTCGTGGAGGAGCCTCTATTTCCATCATCGAAGATGTCCATAATCGATCAGTCAATCTTCTCTTCGTACCTTCTACCTACCTTCATGGCGAACCTCAATTGCTTTTCTGAATCA